TTCCACATAACACTCAGTGCTCATCCCCACAAGTGTCCTCCTCCATGCCCATCCCCCCTCCCCCCCACATCCATCAGTCCTCAGTTTTTGTCAACCATGAGAGACTATTTTATTTTATTTTATTTTTTTATTTAAGTATGCTCTACACCCAACTTGGGACTTGAAATCATGACCCAGAGATAAAGGTTTGCATGCGCTGGCAGCTGAGCACAGGTGCCACTGGGAGAGTCTTTAATAAGGGATTTGAGGTTCACCTGGGTGGCTCCATCAGTTAAGCATCTGACTTTGGCTCAGGGCATGATCTCACAGTTCATGGGTTCAAGCCCCGCATTGGGCTCTCTCTCCACTGACAGCTCAGTGCCTGGACCTGCTTCACATGCTGTGTCTCCCTCTCTCTCTCTCTGGCCCTCCCTGTTTGCACTCTCCCTCTCTCTCAAAAATCAGTCAATAAATAAAAACTTTTTAAAAAATGGATTTGGGTCATTTCAATAGTTGTAAGATGATTTAGGTTTTCTATTACTATTTGTGTCTATTTTAGTATATCACATTATATTTGCAAGAAATTTGTTTATTCTACCTAAAGTTTCAAGTTTGTTGACATAAACTTGTTTAGATATCCTTTTATCATCATATTGTATTTTTATCTTTTCTTCTTTTTAAAATGAGCAGGCTATTGTGTCTATTTAAAATGAGCAGGGTATTCATTCCTGGTATCAATTACCCAGACCTCTCCTTTTATCACAAATATCTTGTGAGAGTTTTGAGTTCTTTTACAAATACAATTTTGGATTTTTGCTCTTCTCTATTTTTTAAAATGTTTATTTATTTTTGAGAGAGAGAGAGTGCACAGCAGGGGAGGGGCAGTCAGAGAGGGAGACATGAGTTCCAAGCAGGCTCTAGGCTCCGAGCTGTCAGACAGAGCCCGATGCAGGGCTCAAACTCACAAACTGTGAGATCATGACCTGAAATGAAGTAGGACGCTTAACTGACTGAGCCACCCAGACTCCCCAAGTCTTCTGTTTTATATTTCCTTTCTACCTCATTAATTTTTTCTTTTCTTCATTATTTCCTTCCTTCTACTTTCCACTGCAAGCGACCATGCAGTGTCACTATGGCCCAAGGTGGGAGACCTACGTGAAGTCCTGGTGTCAAGATGCTTATTCGAATGACTGTACCATCTTTGTTGAAATCAGTGGATCAACGCTGACGAAGAACCTTCTGTTTATCAATCAGAAAGAACGCACATTGTCTGTGCTCTTATGGAGGAAGTAAAACAACTTTTGGAAAAATGAGCTGTTGTTTTTCTGAGTTGCTCCCAGGCATTTTACAGGGTGGCAGCCCTTCTCACACTCCTATTCTGGAAATTTAGATAAGGACCCAAGCTTAGAGTTCTTGCATAAGTTCCTTCTTTGTTTTTTCTGGGGCACCTTTTAAATCAACCACTTGGAGTTGATTCTGTGAAAAATCAGTGACCTCATTCCCAGCCCCCTTGTAAGTCACAGGGACTGTCACCCTGCTCTCAGTCTCTCAGTCCAGGATGGGGGGCTGCCCTTCCCCAGGCTCTTTGAATGCCTCTCCCAGGATCTGTAAACAATACATTTTGTGACTCTGTTTCCATTGTGTGGGCATACTGAAATTGCGCCTTTACTTTTTCTTTTTCTTTTTTTTTAATATATTTTTTTTAATGTTTTATTTATTTCTAGGAGAGAGAGAAAGACAGACAGCGTGAGCAGGGGAGGGTCAGAGAGAGAGAGGGAGTCACAGACTGAAACAGGCTCCAGGCTCTGAGCTGGCAGTCAGCACAGAGCCCGACGCGGGGCTCGAACCCACGAACCGCGAGATCATGACCTAAGCGAAAGTCGGACGCTTAACCGACTAAGCCACTCAGGCGCCCCTGAAATTGCGCCTTTAATTAAAACGTCCCTGGGTGGTTCATGTCCCTAAAGTGAGAGTGTGGCTATTGAGGGAGCTACCTACCTGCCCACCCGTGTGGGTGGTTGTGCCTTCTCATCCAGCAGGTGGAGATCTGCATATTCTTAATTCCATGAACCATCTCTGACTTCCAAGTACCCCCAGAGGAACTCAGGCAAGTCAATGCAGACACAGCCTGGTGTGGGATTAGGAGTGTTGGAGATGACTGTGGGTCCAAGTTACATGACCATTGGCCCAGAGAAGTACTCTTCCCTCATGCACCATTGGGATCTCCGTGGCAAGAAGTGTTGTGCCCGATTCACAAGTCCCCTGAGACCCCCAAGGAGCCGACACCGATGCAAGTACAAAAGGGTCTTTATTACAAGCTCGAGCAGGGGCTCACCTGCCTACCAGTGTAGTGGAAGAAGGTGAAGCCCCAAACAATAGTGAGCAGGGTTTTTAAGGGGTAAGGGATGGGGGTGTTACAGTGCACACATTGTACATATAGCATCATCACATAAGCACCAATCATAATTGCACAGCACCCATGGTAACAGCTTTGACCATTCAGTATCTGTGAGGTGTCGGTTACTTTTGGCGGGACCCAATCATGACTTTTGAGAATCCTTTGAAAATGACCAATTATGAGGTGAGTTCAAAGTGCCCATGTGGGGTTCAGGCAAGCGGTGAGAAATTGGCTAGTTTGTACAGAATAACTGTCTACAGTTCCCAGCCTTGACTCAGACCACAGGAATGTTTTCTGATTAGCTGATCTGAGCGCGGTCCGAGGATGGCTTCAGCCTTGAACAATCTGAGGCTTTTACTGGAACTGGGACTGGGGTACATGCAGCCTGAGTTTGCTCTTAATGGAGGACTTAATTTTTGGCTCTTCAGAAGGAAGTAGTGAAAAACGGGGAAGAAAGGCCAGCTTTTATATTTGTGGATTTTTAGAAAGACAAATTTTAAAAGTACACAAAATGTAGTGTAAAAAAATGTGTTCTGACTTCTACTCTACTCCGCTACCAAAGGTAAGGACTGTAATGTGTGTGTGTGTCTGTGTGTGTCTGTGTCTGTGTGTCTATGTGTCTGTGTGTATGTGTGCGTGTGTGTCTGTGTCTGTGTCCTTTGGAGAAATCTTATGCACCTAAAGCATGTATATGTGCATATATTCTTTCCCTCCCTCACAAAAAAATCACATGTATTGTTCTACATCTTGGCTATTTTCAGTGAATGTATTTTGAAAATCATTCCATCTCTGTATCTACAGATTTTTGTTTGTAATGGCTTCATAGTATTCCATGACAGCTACATATCATGGTTTATTTAATAGCTTCAGGGGCGACTGGGTGGTCTAGTCGGTTAAACTTCTGACTTTGGTTCAGGTCATGATCTCTTAGTTTGTGAGTTCAAGCCCCACATTGGGGTCTGTGCTAACAGCTCAGAGCCTGGAGCCTGCTTTGGATTCTGTGTCTCCCTCTCTCTCTCTGCCCCTCTCCTGCTTGTGCTCTCTCTCTCTCAAAAATAAAAATTGAAAAAATTGAATAAAAAATTGTTTCACTCATAACAGGCATTTCAGTTGTTTTGGGTTTTTGTTTTTGTTTTTTTGCAACTACATACAATTGTGTAGCAAATCTCCTTGCATCTGTGGCTTGATGCACATTTATTAATATACCTGCAGGGCCATTCCTATAAAAAATAACTGTGTGACTGATTGTACATTTTCCCAATTTGTAATAGTTTATTGTCAAGTTGGTTTCCATATAACACCCAGTGCTCATCCCCACAAGTGCCCTCCTCTGTGCCCATCACCCCACTTCCCCTCTCCCCCACACCCATCAGCCCTCAGTTTGTTCTCAGCATTCAAGAGTCTCTCATGGTTTGCCTCCCATCCTCTCCGCCACTATTTTTCCCCTTCTTCTCCCCCATGGTCCTCTGTTAAGTTCCTCCTGTTCCACCTCTACGTGAAAACATATGGTATCTGTCCTTCTCTGACTTATTTCGCTTAGCATAACAGCCTCAAGTTCCATCCATGTTGCTACATTTTCCCAATTTTGATGGATATTACCAAAGAGTTTGCAAACATTTCTACCCTTGTCTGAATATTTTAATAAATGGCAAGCCCCCACTCCCCAACATTGGGTGTTGTCAATTTTTTATATTTACACTCAGATTGGCAGACTTGGCATATTGATTGCACATGACCTGGTACCCCACGCAGTGGAGAAGGCTGTAGCATTCGGTCCGTGGCAGGTGACTAACAGACACCTTAAAGTCGAAACCAGACTCTGTTCTTCCTCCAAGCCCAGCCTTGCCCTTTGGGTTTGTTGCAATCCCATACCCCCAGCTGCTCAGCCTTGAACTTAGGGGAGGCCCTTGATTCCTCTCTTGCTCCTATCTAATCTGTTAAGATATCCTGCTGCTCTTTCTTCAAAATATCAATGTCCAGAATCTAACCATGCTTCCACTTGCCCACTGCACCTGGGTGGGGGGTCTCCACTGATGACTGGATGTTTGGAGACTGACTGGTCTCTCCCTCGTGCTGTGGTTTGTCCTCACCTAATTAATCTACTCCTCACTCAACAGCAGGAACAAGACTTTGAAAACATGAGCATAATCTTTTCCCTTCTACATTCAAAACCCTACAATGGCCCATACTTCACTCTGTGTTTCTCTCTGACCCCATTTTGTCCTCTGCAATCTCAGGTGCCTCCATGCTATTCCTCCAAACAAGCCAGGCCTGTTCCTGACTCCTGGGTCCTCACCCCAGCCCTGAGTGACCCCTGTCTTCCCAGCTGCTGCCTCCTCCAGCCATAGGAGGATGGCTCTTGAGGGGCTTTGAGGGGCTCTGCACCCCAGCTTTCATTCCAGACCCACCTCAATGGGGAGCTGGGACCAAAGCTTTCTCCTTTTCCAGACTGTGGGTCCCTGAGCGGCCCTCGCACCATGATGGCTACCATAGTGGGGGAATCTCTCAGCGTGCCCTGTTGGCATGATGAGGAACTCAAGACATTTTAACCAATACTGATGCCAAGAACCACATCATCACCAAAGGAAGACTGTAAAGACTTTGGGGCCAGAGGCGGTGGCCGCCAGAGGCCGAGTGTCCATCTACGACCATCTTTGTGACCCGACCTTCACAGTTACCAGAGGATGATGCAACATTGAATGTGTGAGGTTAAAACAGGGCTTCTCCTACCGTCAGAGTGACTGTCGATTCCCCCCGGCAAGTCCCTTCTTGGTGCCGTCACCAAGGCTCTCTCGAGGGCCCTCTGTGCTTCCTGGTGAAAGTCACTTCCTGCGTTGCCATGTCTTTTGCATATGGCCAAGTGTCCTCTCCATAGCTAAAGAAAGGAACACACACACGAACAGTGGCTGAGCACACCCCACAGCCTCTCCCTGCCTTGACCCGAAACCAGCAGGGAGCTATGAAGCCTGTGTGCCAGGGATGAACTTCCAGCTCATAGAAGCCTCTGGTGGTAGGTTTGCTACTTCTGCCACCTCTCCCTGGAGGGGATTATGATATTCTGTCCTATACATCAGGCATGGCCACTTGCTGTGGTCCATGAAGGAGGAGCCTAAGAGGCATGTACCTGTCTGAGCAGAAGTTCTAGGAGCCACTCTGTGGCTTCCCTCTTCCTGTCATGGACAAGGGCTGCTCCTTTAGGCTGGGTCCCCAAGCAAACATGTAAGATGAGTGACAGAAGATGACCTTCGTGGCGCCAGCATTCTGAGATTTCGGAGTTTTGTTACAGCAGCATCACCTAGAAAAAGCTGACTGATACAGCCCTATGCACAGCAGGCTGCTTGTCCGGGATGAGGATGGCAAGCATGCCTTTCTTGGAAAGTCTGTAGCTCTGAACTGTCCCCTTCACAGACTCAGGCACTGCCCCCCAAGAGAGGAGTGCTAAGCAGTGTACCCTGAGCCTTCCTCGCCCCAGAGGGGCTCCTCCAGTGAGACTGAGAAGCAGGTGACCCTTTCCTTAGTTCCCAGGGCTGTGAGCAACTATGAGGCTTTGCTCTCAAAGGGCTGCTGGTGTCAAGCAGGCAGTGGAGGAAGACTGGCCTCTCATGGGCAGACAACAGTCACAGAAAAGACAGACCTGTCCCTTAGAAGCCTGCCTGGACTGCCCAGACCAATTGCAGATGGAGCCACTTCCAGAGGCCAAAAGAGAGACGCACACACCTGCACACACACGCCTACCTGCTGCCAGCGGTAGCTAGTGAGCTGGGAAGGAACAGGTGAGTTTGAATCCTGAGCTAAGAGCAATCATGTGACTCACCTAAGGTCACACAGCGAATAAATAGCAAAGTGGAACTTTCCTGGGCATTTCACAAATCACACCTGAGGAGGAACAATTTTCTTTAAGAGCATGTTGGGAAGAAAACAATAATTTGCAGACAAAATGTCACAAGGACTAGAAGGGAGAGGATGCAGGAGATGTAGATGAATCTTTGTATCTCTTCGTGCAGCCAACCTCTAAGGGTTAAAGGGAGAGCAGTGGAGCCCAAGCAAATGGAAGTTCATGAATTGAAAATTCTTCTGCTTCTAGCAAACTTCTTCCTCCCTAGCTCTGTCAGTTCTGTGTCATTGTTGAACATGGTGGGAGGGGGAATTGTGCGTGCGTGCGTGCACACACACACACATCTGTGCACCTACGCACACAAAACCTCAGAATATATGAGATCTGCTGCTGCAGCAAGAAATGAACAAGCAGGCAATTTATTTACTAAAACATCTAGCTAAGAGATGCTTGATAATAGGATCCCAGAATTTTAGACTTTTCTATTTACGTGGGTCTGGGTTCTTAGAGAAGACATTCCAAATTGGCATCTGCTTTTCTAAGTCCTCCCTGGCTGTTTCATGTCATGGGGCATAGTTCTGGCCAGGTGCACCAGAGTTATCGTTTGATGTACTGAAAACTTTTCTATCTGTAAGAATCTTGGCAGCTCATTTAACCAGATTAAAAGGGGAGGCTTGAGGGGGGCTCGGTGCCAGAGTGATGGGGACTGGTCAGGAGCACACGACCAAGACAGGAACCCAGTCAAAGCCTCTGGGGTCTGGTGAAGCCAGATCGAAAGCTGGGGCCTGAGAAGAGCAGAGCCCACCCCAGAGGTGTACCCACCCTCACACTCTGCTCCACCAAGAGTGGGAGATGAGTCCAACTTCATGGGGGCACCTTTGAGGTCACAATGCGTCCCCCTGAGAAGGGTTTGATTTAATGCTCTGTTGTCCTACCAACTCAAAATTGTTGGTAATTCTAGGGCAAATGTATTTTCATTTTGCACTGGGCCCTGCAAATAGCTGGTCTTGTCCAGAGAAGGCTTCATCATGCCTGCATGCGCCAGCCACGCCAGCCATGCCAGCCACAGGATATTTGCTATTCATAGAGGGGAGGGGTTGCTCGGAAAATCTAGATCAAATTCAGCTGGGACAGTCCTGCCTTGTGGCAAGTGGGTGTGTTGGCTGCGGTGGAGTCATGGTAAGGGTGTTACCCTCATGGGGAGCAGAAACCAGAACTGTGCATTCAAATGTTTCTGAGGAAAAAATTTAGCAAATAACTAACTGACCACATGATGCCCTGAACCCCTCGCTTCCCCCATTTTCTGACAAGCTCTGAGAACAGAACCAATAAGCTGAAGAAGGAAGCAGAGAAGTGCCAAGAAATGCAGAAGAGGGAGACGGGGTGAGCGGTCCCTGGGTGAAGAGGTTTCAGCTGCAGCAGGAGAGACACCCAGAGGGACGGGGCCATGTGGGTGCCCTCACTTCTGCTGCTCCTCTCTGTCCCAGGTGAGCAGGGCTGGGCAGGTCAGGTGATAACAGTGTGAGGCAAGGCTAGTGATGGGGAAGAGATGAGGTTACAAGCAAAGAAAGGAGGGGGTGAGCTTGAAAAAACCTCACCCAGCTGAAGAGGAGGAGGTATTGATGGTAAGATGTTTCCCCCAGGTGAGCATGTACTGAGCCCTAAAGAAATTGGCTACTTTAATCATTATGACCACCATTTTGAAAATCAGGAAGACTGTCTTTAAAAACAAAAAAAGTTTATTTATTTTTGAGAAAGAGAATAAACATGGAGGAAGGGCAGAGAGAGCGGGAGACAGAATCCCAAGCAGGCTTTGCGCTATCAGCGCAGAGCCTGATGTGGGGCTCGAACCCACAAACCCTGAGATCTATGACCTGAGCCAAAATCAAGAGTTGGACACTTAACCAACTGAGTCACCCAGGCATCCTTTGTCTTTTTTTTTTTTTTTTAATATTTTTATTTATTTCTAGGAGAGAGAGAGAGAGAGCATGAGCGGGGGAGGGTCAGAGAGAGAGGGAGGTACAGACTCTGAAATAGGCTCCAGCCTCTGAGCTGGCAGTCAGCACAGAGCCCGACGGGGGGCTCAAACCCACGAACCGCGAGATCATGACCTAAGCAAAGGTCGGACGCTTAACCGACTAAGCCACCCAGGCGCCCCTGTCTTTTTTATTTTTAAGTAGGCTCCATGTCCATCGTGGAGCCCAACGTGGGGCTTGAATTTACAGCTCTGAGATTAAGACCTGAGCTGAAATCAAGAATTGGACATGCAACAGACTGAGCCTCCCAGGTGCCCCAGGAACACTGTCTTATGCACCAGCCCAGGGCAAGGAGAGCAGAGAACTAATACTGATTTGGCTAATCGATGTGTTAACCCAGTTTTCCCCGTAATCTAATCCTATTTTTATTGCAATTGTATGAAAACAAGAGACCGTGATGCAGAGACATGCAAATAATTGACCCTAGACCAGTTCATAAAAGGCAACCAAGGTTCAAAGAGAAATATTGCTAAGGTCATTGCTCTTCTTATAATACTTATATTCAAGGTCATCACTTTTTAAAAATAATACAATGGTCACTTACTACAAAAGCCTCCTTGTGAACAGCTGTTTATGTAACCCAGTTGTTGACACATCCTCCTATGGGGACCCTATGCGTCTCACAGGTCTGGGCTGGCCCCAGGGGCCCTGCAGTATGAGCCCCTGGATAGTGACACTGCTGGGGACTTGTTCATCCTTTTCTGAGAGTTCCCATAAACAACGTTTCTCTCTCTTTTTTGTTTTTGAACACTAGAAGGAAACTATTTTACTATAAAAAGGGAAAAAAATCAAGACAACTCATTAGTTTGCTCTGATCCTATGAAAACACAAATGTAGCAATTAGAAATCAGAGTAATCTGATGTCAGAGCCCACCGTCAGAGCCCAAGGAGGAAAAAAACCTTTATTTCATTAATCCCACTGCCCCCACCTCTAGCTATATTAATCAAGATGCACCAAAACCCTTAAAAATATCACTCCCGTGAGATCGACCGCTGAGTTGGGCTCTGCGCTGACGGGGTGGAGCCTGCTTGGGATTCTCTCTCTCTCTCTCTCTCTCTCTCCCCCTCTCCCATTCATGCTCTTTCCCTCTCTCTCAAAATAAATAAACAAAAAACTCTTAATATAAATATCACTCCCAAAATAGGACACTATTTTGATACTCTGAACATGAAGATACTCTGCATGATAAAGCTGAACAGACAAGCATGCTTTAGACTTTAAACCTTGACCAACTTTTAAATAATATCGCTTTACAGAGATGATTTAATTTAAAAAATTTAGGGGCATCTGGGTGGTTCAGTCAGTTAAGTGACCGACTCTTGATTTCAGCTCAGGTCATGATCTCATAGTTCATGGGTCCAAATCTTGTGTCAGGCTCCGTGTTGAATGCTCAGAACCTGCTAGGGATTCTCTCTCCCTCCCTTTCTCTCCTTCTGCCCCTTCCCTCCTTAGTCTCTCTCTCTCTTTCTCAAAATAAATAAACTTTAAAATAATAATGATAATAATAGGGGCGCCTGGGTGGCTTAGTCGGTTAAACATCCGACTTTCACTTAGGTCATGATCTCGCGGTTCATGGGTTCCAGCCCCGCGTTGGGCTCTGTGCTGACTGCCAGCTCAGAGCCTGGAGCCTGTTTCACTCTGTGACTCCCTCTCTCTCTGACCCTCCCCTGCTCACACTGTCTCTCTCTCTCTCCTAGAAATAAATAAAAATATTTTAAAAAAATAATGATAATAATAAATTAAAAAAATAAAGCACATTCTAAACACCCAGTTTTGGTGATCAGGATAGATAAAGTAATTTTATTACAAATTTCAGGATTTAAAAGTAATTTATTACATTTACTAAGATAAATCTGAAATGGCCTGTGTCAAGCATGTGTGTCCTGCATAGGGACACTGTGATCCTCAGGCATGAAAAGACACAGTTGCATCCCACACCCTTTACTGATGGGATCAGCCAGATGGAAAAAAAAATTATGCTGAGTTTCAATAGCACATACTGATAAGGATCATTTTGGTTTATCACTCTGACATTTGGACTGTGAAGAGTTCAGGGGAAAAAGACTTATTCTTGAAGTCTGAAAGCCAAACTAAAGTCTGGAGGGTGGCCTCCAGAAATTCAAGGTCCTCTTTTGCTACTTTTTATTTCAAGGATCTATATTTAAATGATACTTTCTGTATTTATTTATTTTTATTAAAAATATTTTTAATATTTATTTTTAAGAGAGGGGAGAGGCAGAGGGAGAGGGAGACTCAGATTCTGAAGCAGGCTCCAAGCTCTGAGCTGTCAGCACAGAACTTGTGAACAGTGAGATCGTGAGCTGAGCCGAAGTCCAATGCCCAACCGACTTAGCCACCCAGGAGCCTGGAGATGTTCTGTATTTAATAAGAGTTATGATTCAATTTTTCTGTAAACCCAAGTCTAAAAGTCCCTGCCCCATGGCAAGAGACCACACAGGAGCTGGTTCACCAGTAAGAAGACTGAGACCAGACAAAAGGAAAACACACTCACCCAGGTTATAGACAATGGCCATCCAGCAACAGAGACAAGCCAAGCAGGGTGGCCACATGCAAGAGGGCCGTCGGAGACCTCAAGCTAAGCCATCCTTCTGCTTCTAAAGGAGAGAAATCTCTCTTTGCCCATTTACTTGCTTTTACACTTAACAGGCTAGGAACCCAAGGTCTCTTTTACTTTATATACATACATTTAAGATTACTAAAGGCAACATCTTACAATTGGATCTGTAGGGAGCGTCAGGTGCATGATGGGTACAGAGCAAGCACTGTCCCATGGGATCTCAGAAAGAACCCGGGAAGAAAAGTGCAGCACCCGAGAGGCAACTGAGACAGCGGGAAGAGCACCCTTACGCTCCAGGGCTGAGATGGGGAAGAAAAACTACAAGGAGGGTTGGGAGGGGGGGCGGTGGATGCCGGCAAGGCTGAGGGTCAAGGTCAAGGTCAAGGTCTAGGTGTAATAGAGTGCCTCTAAGAATGTTTTTTTTTAAATGTTTTTTATTTATTTCTAGGAGAGAGAGAGAGAGAGAGAGAGTGCGTGAGCAGGGGAGGGTCAGAGAGAGAGGGAGACACAGACTCTGATATATGCTCCAGGCTCTGAGCTGGCAGTCAGCACAGAGCCTGACGTGGGGCTCGAACCCACGAACCGCGAGATCATGACCTAAGCGAAAGTCGGACGCTTAACCGACTAAGCCATCCAGGCGCCCCTCCAAGAATGTTTTCTTATCCAGACCTGAGGAAACAGCTCCAGATCTTGAGGGTTAGGGCTTAAGCAACTGAAAGAGTAGGTAAGGTGGAAAGCCAGCCCTGAAGGGTCCCCGCCGACCCCATCAGAAATGGAGAGAACAGTGCCTCCACAGCCTGAGCCTGGGACAGCAGCAACTACACGGAGAAGGTTCACTGTTGCTGCTCCCAGTCCCCCCAGCCCCAAGCCTGCATCTGGAGGGCCTCAGACTGGGGCATTTTGCCCCGTTAAGCAAGGTTCCTCAGTCTCCCCACTGTTGACATTGGGGCTGGACCATTCTGTGTTAAAGGGCTGCCTTGTGCACTACTGGATGTTTAGCCACTTCCTTGGCCTCTGCCCCCTGGATGCCAGGAGAAACTCCCCACCCCTCCAGTTGTGAACAATCAAAAATATCTACAAACATTCCCAAATGTCTCCTGGGGGGCAATATCACCCCTGGTTGAGAACCACTGCTTTGCAAATTATTGGTGAGAGAGGCAGACAGCCCTGTGATGTAGAATATAGGTCAGTGGGCCACTTGAGCTTGCTTGCCAGGAAATCCAGTAAGAAAACGCAAAGTATTTAAAATGAGGGAGGAAAAAATACAGTTTTCTTTTAATTAAAATAAATTTCATTAATTAAGTTTTTAAGAGAGAGAACAAGGAGCAGAGGAAGAGGGAGAGAGAGAATCTCAAGCAGGTTCAATGCCCAGTGCAGAGCCCAACGTGGGGCTCAATCTCATGCCATAAGATCATGACCTGAGCTAAAATCAAGAGTCTGATGCTCAACTGACTGAGCCACCCAAATGCCCCTTTCTTTTAGTTTTAGAATAAAGAAATAGAGTGCTCGCTTCAGCAGCACATATACTAGAATAAAAAAATAGCAAAAGTCTCACATTCTGTGGATGACAATATATTGCTTGGACAGGTAGATAGAAGGAGGAAAGAATGGATGATAGGTAGATGGATGATAGGTAGGTAGATTGCATCCACAATTCTTTTCCAGAAGTTGGGTATTTTGCCCAAATCATTTCTCAGCATCCTTTTGCCCTGGGTTAACCCCTTTTCTTGTTAAGAACATATCAGACAAAGGGGCGTCTGGGTGGCTCAGTCAGTTGAGCAACTCCTTTGGCTCAGCTCACAATCTCATGGTTCGTGGGTTCAAGCCCTGCATTGGGTTCTGTGCTCAGAACAGCTCAGAGCCTGTAGCCTGCTTTGGATTCTGTGCCTCTCTCTCTTTCCTTCTCCCCCACTCATGCTCTATCTTTCTCAAAAATAAAATAAATATTAAATTTAAAAAATTTTTAAATAAAATTGTTTTTAAAATTTCTTTTTTCATAAAAAAAAGAGAACAGATCAGACAATAGCTGTTCCTTGGAGTAATGAGGACCTCTCAAGTGCCTGGGACTGGCATGGCTCTCCAGGCAGGAAGCTCCAATCATTTAAAACTGGAACCTCCTGGGTGCCTGGGGGAGGGAGGACAATGTCATGTCCTTGGAGGTGGCAGAAGAGTTAGAGATGAGGCCTAGGACTTGCCAAGGCTGGTGGGTGGCTGCCGAGGGGTGGGGGAGGGAGCAGCGTGGAGCAGGGAGTTCCTAAAGATGTTAGGTGACGGCAACTGTTGCCACAGGTTTCTGTCCCAGGAAGGACATCAAGTGTGAATGTCCTTGATTCAGAGCCCAGATGAACCCCTTCCTGATGGCCTCTTTATACCACCTGTCCGACTCCCATTTCCGGTATGACCCAGGCACATGGGCAGGAGGTCCCACCTATACAAGCAGGGATTATAAGCTTGGGGCCTACAGGTGATCATTTGGGAAGGGGACATAGCCAGAAACTGAAGGCTTCCTTCTACCTCTCAATATTGTACTTCATCTAGACTTCTTCGGTTCCCATTCTTGCTTCCTGTTTTCTATTCCATCTGTCCATCTGTCCGTCCATCCATCCATCCATCCGTTTATTCAGAATATACTCAGTGGCTTCATTCAATTCTTGGTAATTGATAGGCACAGTTGTTTCCTCTCGAGACTGACATGTCTGGGGACCCAGAACCTATCTGGAGCCACCCAAAATCTTCCTCTTCCCCCACTTCTAATTTGGCTGAGTACAGACAGGGTGGGTATGGCCTCTCAAGTCTCAGAATCTCAACCAGGGAGCTTCAGAGGTCTCCCCCTTTTGTCCGCCTATAGCCCATACCTCCCTGGTTCCTGACCCCTCCCTCTTCGAGCTTTAGGGTGACATCTGGGTTTCCAAGGGGCCTGACATCCAAGGTCCCTCCAGTCCAGGCTCTTCAGGTGAAGAAAGCACCAATGGTGTTTTTCAGGCTTCTCATCTCTGAGTGGCCCCAGCACTGTGACAGGCCCTGAGGGGGGATCCCTGAGCGTGCAGTGCCAGTACGAGGAGAAATACAAGGCGTTTCCTAAATACTGGTGCCGACAACCATGCTTGCTACTTTGGAACCAGATGGTGGAGACCAGAGGGTCGGAGGGAGAGGTGCAGAGTGACCGTGTGTCCATCGTGGACCATTCTGCAGACCTCACCTTCACGGTGACCTTGAAGAACCTCACTGCAGATGATGCAGGAAAATACAGATGTGGGATCGCAACAATACTGAGAGAAGAAGGACTCCACGGCTTCCTGCCAGACCTCTTTTTCCAGGTTCAAGTGTTTGTTTCCCCCAGGTAAGACCCTGCTTTCTTCTGGTGCCACTGAAGAAGTGATCTGAGCTAGTGAATGCCTGCAGAGCACCTGAGGAAATCTCAACTCAGGAGAAAAGAGCCAGGCCCAGTGTTTGTGCCTCAGAGACTCAATGGGTGCACCGTGTGGGTGTGAGTGTGTGGGAAATATGGGTGCATGGGAGTGTATATGAGTGTGAAAGACAGACAGATGGTAGGGATGAATGATGGATGGATGGATGATGGACAGATGGCTAGATGATAGACAGAGGGATAGATAGATGGAAGAAAGATGTCCATTAATGATAATTCTTATGGAGAAGAATTAAGCAGGTGCCAAGGATAGGGTGCTGGGGCATATGGGAAGATTATGGGACATGATGAAAGGAATCAAGATTCACTGAAAACAAATAACCAAGAGGCTGTTGCAGTTTGGGTTTCTTCAAAATCTGATCCTGAGACAGGACTTAGGTGCAATTCATTTATGGAGAGGTGATCCCAGGAAGTATAGTGAGGGAGGAAGGAAGTGGGGAAAGCCAGTGAAGTGTAACTTTGGCAAAGGATCTATCACAGTAGCAGCTGGGCTCTGTCCCACTGGGTACCCTGGGAGATACCACATAGGACATAGGACATTCCTCAGAACTGTCCCACTGAATGGTGAGGAAGCTGAAGTAATGATCCGCATGCATCTATTCTCATGGTGGGGGAAGATGGTGGGCTTTGCTATTTTCTTAGAGCGATGAGGGAAGGCTTCTCAAATGAAGAGATATATGAGCAGAGACCTGAAGGATACAGGAAAGCCAGCCAAGCAAGAATCTGGAGAAAGAGTTTTGCAGGCAGAGAGAGGGTCACTCTTGGGAACATGGATTCTGTGGCATTTCTGGCCTGTTCTGCTCAGTGAGCCGCACACACTCCTATAGCTAGAGAGAGCCCTCAGGCAGAGATGGGTGAGTTGGAAGTGGGAAACCACTGGCGGGTCCAAGACTACCCGCTCTCAAGCAGGCTTGAGAGCACATGAACCAGGGTGCCAATAGGGTTTACAAGAGGGCCCAGTGCATCCATGGAGAGGGGCAGGCATCAGCCAAACCCGGAGGCTGCGAGCCAGGCAAGGGACTGGGAAGTTAGAAAGCTTAAACAAATGCCCAGTGTGGGAGAGGAAACACAGCATTTGTGAGGAACTGAGGTGGGGATAGGTACTGGGACTCAGGGGGTGAGAAGATTGGCTATGAGCTGAACTTGGGGAGGTCACTCCTGGGGCTTGATGGTTTTATTTCTTAAATAGTTTATTGTCAAGTTGGGTTCCATATAACACCCAGGGCTCATCCCAATACCTCCGTGCCCATCATCTCCTTTCCCCTCTCCCCCATACCCATCAGCCCTCAGTTTGTCATCAGCATTCAAGAGTCTCTCATGGTTTGCCTCCATCCCTCTCTCCAACTATTTTTCCCCTTCTTCTCCCCCACGGTCTTCCGTTAAGTTCCTCCTAATCCACCTACATGTGCAAACATATGGTATCTGTCCTTCTCTACCTGACTTATTTCGCTCAGCATAACACCCTCAGGTTCCATCCATGTTGCTACACATGGCCAGATGTCATTCTTTCTCATTGCCATGTAGTATTCCATTGTATAGATGAACCACATCTGCTTGATCCATTCATCAGTTGATGGACACTTAGGCTCTTTCCATGTTTTGGCCATTGTTGAGAGTGCTGCTATGAACATTGGGCTACATGTGCCCCTATGCATCAGCACTCTTGTGTCCCTTGGGTAAATTCCTAGCAGTGCTACTGCTGGGTCATTGGGGAGTTCTACTGTTAATTTTTTGAGGAATCTCCACACTTTTCCAGAGGGACTGCACCAGTTTACATTCCCACCAACAGTGTAGGAGGGTTGGGGCTTGATGTTTTTGAACAGTTTAGGCAGAAGAGCTGCTCCCACAATGGATGGTACTGAAGGTGAGTCAAGACGAATTTGAGTGAGTAATTCATTCAAAGGGGCATTTCATCCTCAAGGTCAGGGCCAGCAGGAGCTGAGTTCCTGTGAGTGTTGTGGACTGTGAGTTCAGAAAGCTGTTTCCGGAAGCTCTCTCATCTCCCTTCTTCTCCAGTCCTCACCACTGCATCCTCATACGTCTGCTGCATCCTGACGCTCAAGGTCGACTCTTGAGCTGAAGGACAGGAGTCTGTGGCCCTCAGCACGGGGCTGTCTGGCCCTGGTACCAACCAGCTTTGACACTGATATTAACTTTTGAGATGACGGGACCTAAGCACAACAGCAGGTGGGGGAGAGGAAGAGCCTGGGCTTCTTGTCGAGGAGGAAACTCCTGCTAATCACTGTGTTCCTCCCACAGGTCCCTGTCTGACCGCGTCCACTTCCTGCTCCTCATATTCCTGAAGGTGCCTCTGTTTCTGATTATGCTCAGTGCCATCCTATGGGTGAATAGGCCCCAGTGGGCAATTTGTGGGAAACAGCCTGATGACAACGGCCTTCAGCCCTCCTTGCCCATTGATATCCTGTCCAGAGACACCACTGCTCAGACTAGAGAAGGAGAAACTTCTGGCCCCAAACTTTATTTCTCTTCTCACCTGATCACCAAAAACTTGTAAAACAAAACAGAAAAAACAACCTTGAAAAATTGTAATGAAATACGTCACACATACAGAAATGTGTATATAATGTAGATGTGCCTGGTGCTTGGCTGGGGAGAACGTGGGAAACATTCCACAGATTCCTAACTTGCCGGCAGAAATCGGTGCCAGGCACAGCCCAGTTGGTCAAGGGAGTCCAGGGTGAGGGCCCGCTTTTGGGTGACCTCACCCTCCTGAGAACCCTCAATGCAGACTCTCAACTCAACATTCCTTCCTTTCTTCACTCATTCACTAAATATTCACCAAGAGGCTACATAGCGCCAGGCTTATTTCTAGATGGTGAGGATAGAGCAGTCAACAAAACCTGGCCTTATGATCTAATGGTTGGCTTCAGAAAATAAAGAAATAAATAATATTGGTTTGTAATAAGTGTCATGGAGAAGAAAGGGTAAGAGTTCAGAGGATGGGGTGACAGAAAACAGGGACAGCCTCTTGGGTAAGAGCTTCAGGTGGGTGAGGGAGGGAGGGTGGAAGGGCAGAGCAAAAGCAGAGCTCAGGGCAGGTAAGCACCCTGACTGAGGCCAGTGGGACAGGAATCTGGGGAGTCAGGTAGATGTGGAAAGGCCAGGCAAGCTCTCACGGGGGTGGGTAGCCTGCATCTTCTGAGAAATGGGGAGCCACTGAAGGATTTCAGCAGAGGAGGCCCCAGGATGAGATGTGAAGATGTCAAGGCATCCCCTTGAGGACTGGTTCACAAATGATCTCTGATCTGTGAGAAATCACCAAAACAGCCCCAACCTGAGCTGAGTTTCTGAGAGTATTGATTGGCAGGAGGAGGGGTGGGGCTTAGGGCAAAGAAGCTCTTTCTAGAAGCCAGGTCCTATCCGGGGAAACCCTCTGTCTCCTCTCAGTATCACCCACCTAACCCCCAAAGTCAGCTGTTGAGCTGAGCGGCCGGGGTGGTATATCCAGATACCCAAGTCTGGCCCAAATGTGGGTTATTGCGTCCACAGGATCAGAGAGACTTGGGAAGGGGGCAGAAAGGAGAGACCTGGGGCCTTGTCTTGAAGATGCAGCTCACCATCTGTCACCATGTTCCTTGCAGACTCCTGCTTAGCTGGAATTCTTGGTCCTTCTGCAAGTGGCCCTACTCCTGACCATGTTCAGTGCTATCCTTGGGGTGTCCTCCCCCCTTGTGGGGACTTCAAAAGAGATGCATCCACCCTTTGTGCCTTTTGATATGCTGCCCACACATACAGCCCTTCAGATTAGAGAAGATAAGATACATCATATCTTATTTATCCATTTTTCTGTTGATGGCTTTGGGTTGTTGCCCATTTTGGAGCCATTCCACAGCCAGTGCTGCTATGAACATTTTCATACAGGTCACCTAGTACATACGTGAAATAAGTTCATTAAGATATATACATGTGCTTAGGGATAGAATTGCTGGATTTTAGGGCTTGCATATGCTCAGCCACACTAGATAATGCCAAATGATTTTTCCAAACCCATTCACTGCCCCAGTTAATGCTCCCATCAGCAATGGCTGAGAGCCCCCATTGCTCTGCCTCTGTGTGACTACTTGGTTTGTCAAACATTTTACTTTTTGGGTTTTGCCATTTTGAAATAGTTCTTCATTTCACTATTCACGGGATGGCCAGACTGTGCAGCTGAGGTCCAAAGGCAGGTAAACGTGACCCAGGAAAGAGGCCATTGCAGGATTCAAGGTCACTGAGAACAGACAACACACACACACCAGGCTCAAGGGGTGCGTCATTTACTTACAGCAGGAGAGAGAGAGGGAGCCAGGCTGTGCATCTGTTCTCTATGGCTGGTGCATGACTCTATAGCTAGTGTGGGCACCCCACTTGTCCTGCACAAGAACCCAGACCCCTTCCCAGTGAGGGCTGAAATGTAGGGAAACTGGGGTGCTCCTGAGGGTCACTGACTCTAGCACTTAAGCAGAGCAAGGTAGCACTCAGTGAACCTGAAAGGTATTCCCACAAAAAGCAATAAACCCAGCACAGTCTGTGTGGGTTCCTATCTCCCAGTGAGGATGTGTTCCAGGCCCCAGGCACATTCCGTGTGAGTGGGGGGTGGGAGGGCAGAGAAAGAGGGAGACATAGAATCTGAAGCAGGTTCCAGACTCCAAGCTGTCAGGATAGAGCCTGACGCAGGGCTCAAACTCATGAACTGCAAGATCATGACCTGAACCAAAGTTGGATGCCCAACTGACTGAGCAACCCAAGTGTCCCAAGATTCCAACCCTTGATTTTGGCTCAGGTTATGATCTCACAGTTCATGAGATCAAGTCCTGTGTCAGGCTCTGTGCTGACAGCTAAAGCAGTGCTATGAGGGAAATTTATAGCCTCTAATTCTTATACTAGAAAAGAGGAAAGGTTTCAAATCAATCATGTAAATTCTTACCTCAAGAAACTGGAAAAAAAGAGCAAAATAAACCTAAAGCAAGTAGAAGGAAAATCATAAAAATAAGAGCAGACATCAGTGAAATTTAAAACAGAAAAACAGAGGTGGCTAGGTGGCTCAGGTGGTTAAGTGTCTAACTCTTGGTTTCTGCTCAGGTCATGATCTCATGGTTTGTGAGACAGAGCCCCATGTTGGGCTCTGTGCTGCCAGCATGGAGCCTACATGGGATTCTCTGTCTCCTTATCTCTCTGTTTCTCTCTCAAAATAAATAAACATTATATATATATAATATACATAAAAATTATATATACATATATATCTCAAAACATATAGCACACAGCTAAAGCAGTGCTTGAGGGAAATTTATAGCCCCTAATTCTTATACTAGAATAGGAAAGATCTTAAATCAATCATGTAAATTCTTACCTAAAAAAAAACTAGAAAAAAGATAAAAATAAACCCAAAGCTAACAGTGAAATTGAAAACAGGAAAACAATAGAAAAAAATTAGTGAAACAAAAATCCCATTCTTTAAAACAACAACAATAGAAACAAGAGACTTCTAGCAAGACTGACAAAGAACATAGAGAGAATGTCCAAATGATATCAGGGGTTTCACTAAGACCCTGAAGCCATTAAAGGATAATAAGGAAATGCTGCAAACAATTTTATACCCATAAATTTAAAAAACTTAGAAATGGACCGATTTCTTAAGAGCCACAAACTACCAAAACTGACCGAAGACAAAATAAATAACCTCAGTAAGTCCAATTACCATTAAAGAAATGAAATATGTAATTTATAAACATTAAAAAGAAATATCCGGGCCCATATTCACTAGACAACTCTAGTAAGCATTTAAAGATGAATTAATACACAGTCTCTTCCAGTAGAGACAATAAAGTAAGGACTTTCCAAGTCATTTTATAAAGCTAGTATTATCCTGATATCAAACTTAACAAAAATAGTACAAAGAAAACTAAAGATCAGTATGTCTCATGAACACGGACACAAAAATCCTCCACAAAATATTAGCAAATGGAAGCCAGCAATGTATAAAAAGAATTATACACCATGATGGAGTGAGGTTTATTAGAGGTGTGCAAGGCTGGCTCAATATTTAGAAATCAATCGTTGTAATTCACCATATTAAACTAAAGAAAAATCATGAGATCACATCAATTGACACTACAAAAGTATAAGACAAACTCCAATACCCACTCATGATAAAAAAAAAAAAAAACCTCATAAAAATAAGAATAGAGGGAATTTCCTCAACCTGATGAAGATCATCTAAAAGAAAGGCTAACATCATACTTAGTGATAACAAACTAAATGCTTTCCCTCTAAGATCATGAGCAAGACAAAGATGCCCTCTCTCACCATTGTTACTCATCCTAACACTAGAAATTCTGGCCATTGCAATAGGCCAGAAAAAGAAATAAAGGCATAGAGAATTGAAAAGAAGAAATAAAGCTCTTCTTATTTGCCTATGACATAATTGTCTATGTAGAAAATCTCAAGTGACCCACAAAATCCCATAGAACCAATTGGTGAGTTCATCAGGTCATGGAATACAAGATGAGCACACAAAAACCAGTCACATTTCTATATACTAACAATGAACATATCTGAACCAAAATTTAAAATGCAATTCCATTTACAATAACTCCAAAGAAAATGAAATGCTTAAGTATAAACTTAACAAAGTATGTACTGGATACATATGTCAAAAATTACAAAATGCTAATGACAGAAATCAAAGAAAATTTAAATAGATGCCAATTCTTCCCAAATCTGAGCTCTAATCTATCTTGCTGAAAACCCAATATGTTTTTTCCAAGGGGCTGGAGACTTTCTCCGAGGCCCAGCCTTCTGTCTGGAGGGATCTGGAAGGATCGTAACACAGCCTGATACCCAAGTACAGAAAGGATTTCTATTTCCCAACTTCATGGATGAAAATGAAGGAAACCACCAAAGCACACTTGTGGCAGTTCTTCAAGCCACCAAGAGATGGCAATAGTGACCATCTGCAGAGCTTCTCTGTAGACCCTGTTCAAGGACTGAAAAATAATTTTGCTCTAACAGGATTGCTTCTCAGCTGCGGAGTCCCTCCTGGCTGATTCAAATATCCTGATCCTGGCCACCCCCGGGTGTCAGAACTAACACCATTGTGTCCTCATGGCCTTTCCTCTTCGGGCTGAGTCTTACATCCTGCTCATCAGCTATGTGCATAGGAATCACTTTGTCTCCCTTGGGACCAACCAAAGGTGTGCCTAGACATTCAAAGGTCCAAGGCTCGAGATCCAGCCAGGGGTCTGGAGCCCGAAGGGCAGTTCAGACTAGAATAAGTGAGGCTCTAATACCCTGTGCCTGGGGAACGGGATAGAACCAGGCAAAAAAACAAGACACATCTGACTCTGGCCCAGGGCTTCAGCTTTATTGAGAAGCAGCACCACAGGGCTCTTCTGGATTTCTTACCCCCTGGAAGAGATGGAGGGATCCAGTGCCCCCTACTAAACATGGCCATTTGGCTTAGAACTTGGTGTGGTGACAGCTGGCAATGAATGCTTCCTCTCACTGCCCATGAACAAGGGAAGCAGCTCTTTCAAGGACCATGATCAGTGCCTGCAAGGTCTGAGGAAAGGAAGCTGAGAGAGTGAGAAACAAGGAGACAGAGGTGCTGGGACGAAGAGAGATGGGCAGACATGCGCTGGAGGCTGGAAGGGGAGGGTCTACCTTGCAGTGTGGGGAGAGATGTATGCACTCTGGCTCTGGCCTGGCATCCCAGGAACAGCCTCAAAAGTGGTCTTTAACATTGTCTCTAAGTTGAATTGTTTACACAATTGCAGGGCTGCATTGACATAAATGTTGATCTTATGTACTTATATATGTGTTTTATTCCTACCAAAGCGCAAGTAAATTAACACTGTAATTCAGGAATCATTTTTATAATCCAGTTAATTATACTTTATGACCATTTGTGTATCAAAAAGTTGATTCATGAGCTTCACACATTTGAAATATGCCATATTTTTTTTTGTCCATGGAGTACTCACACTCTCCCTTCAGCTCCAGGGTGGTCAACACTTCTGCGAGCCCCAGTGCCCACGGCCCAGGGGTGCTTCCCGGCATCGTGACGACAAGCTTGTGCCTTCGGGGACACCTCACTCGAGGCACCAGGTCTAGGCAGGTAGTGGGGCTCAGCATCCTACAGGCTGGTGTTGGGGGCCAAGCCAAACTGCCACCTCTTCCTACTCTAAAATTTACCATAATTTTGGGGGCTCTTGGGAGGCTCAGTTGGTTAAGTGTATGACTTTGGCTCAGGTCATGAACTCATGATTCATGAGTCAGAGCCCTGCGTTGGGCTCTGTGCTGACAGCTCAGAGCCTGGAGCCTGCTTCAGATTCTGTGTTTCCCTCTCTCTGCCCTTCCCCTGCTCATACTCTGTCTCTCTCAAAAAGAAATAAACATTGAAATTTTTTTAATTAAAAAAATATGCCATAATTTTTGTAACCCTATTTTGGAATCTCTCTTTTCTTAAAATGCTGAGAGCTTCACAAAATAGAAGTGGCCCAGGCTTCTCTGGACCTCAGAGAGACTGTGAAGCCAAAGAGGAATAAAAAAGATACTTCTGATTCTAGCCCAAAGGAAGGTAATAACATTTGCCTTTAACCTGATCTTTGCTTAATTATTTTTTCCTTGCAAGAGAGACTCAATTCACTCTGTGGATGGTTCCCATGCTGTTTCATGTTCAGCTTGCTGACTTCCTAGGCTTTTACTCTGCATTTCTCAATATCAGCCTTTGAAACACCAATGTTACATCAACTCTGGAAGATGTAGTGGGAGGTGACAGGAGGTGGTGAGCTTTTGGACCTTTCTGTGTTGAGTTTTCGCATGGATCTTCCTGAATTAGGTCCTCATGTGCAGGCTTGAGGGTTAGAGAAGTAAATTGTCACTGGGTCAAAAACACGTGTATTAGTCAGGGTTCCCTAGAGGAACAGAACAAATAGGAAAAATATGAGGAGTTTATTATAAGGAATTGGCCTCCATGGCTATGGTAGATGAGGAGTACCCAAGAAAGTCAGTGGCAAAATTCATTCCAAGTTCTAAGGTCTGAGAGCCAGGAGTGCAGAGATCAGGAAAAGATGAATGTCCTAGCTGAAGCCATCAGGCAGCAAGGAGCAAATTCCTCCTTCCTCTGTTGTTCATTGAATTCTACTCAAATCCTTATTGGATTGGGTGAGGCCCACCCACCCAGGGGAGAGCAACCTACCTCACTGAGTCCACAGATTCAAATGCTAATCCCATCCAGAAACATCCTCACAGACACACCCAGACATAATGTCCCATCTGAACAGCCAGTTAAGTTGACACACAAAATTAACCATCACAGAGCTTACTCAGACTTAAAGCCAAATTTCTGCTGTTTTTGCGCTGCCCACATGGTGGACCTTCCAACTTTTCAGGACAGCCAGGAGCTGGCAGAAACTGAAGTATTTTCAGAAAAAGAAGAAGCACTTGGGAAGTGAGAGAGGAAGAGAGACGGTTGTGGGTGGAGAAGTTTCAGTAAACAGTGAGTCCCTGTCAAGTTTCTCAATTTGGATTACAATGGCCACTGGCTGCCTGACAAACCCTCTCATTCTGCTTCCTGGGTCTGAAGTTATGCTTTTCCCCCTTGCTGGCTCTTGGCTACCCTCTTTCCACCAGAGTTATGGTACAAGGGAAAGATGCTTGAGCAGTTGAGCCAGAGGAATCTGGATTCAGATCCTGACATCAACCCTTATAACATGCTTCTGGTCAGTTTGTTGACTCTCTGAGCTGTTGGCAAGATAGCTAGAAGGGAGAGAGATTATGTAAACTCTTTGCTATATGAATAAAGACAAATGTCAACCCCCTCCCCCCCCAAAAAAAATCAAGCAAAGTTTCAGAGACATAGTTTCATGGTTTGGTTTTTATTTTTATTTTTATTTAATTTTATTTTTTTGAGAGAGCGAGTGAGCAGGGGAGGGACAGAAAGAGAGGGGGACAGAGAATCTGAAGCAGGCTTTACACTATCAGCACAAAGCCCAATGCAGGGCTCAAATCCATGAACTGTGAGACCATGACCTGAGCCATTTGGACGCTCAACCAACTGAGCGACCCACACAGAAGCAATAGTATAGGACTTTCAAGGATTAATTACAAATATGTTGTGTCTTGCTCCTTCTGGGATCACTCACTCTGGGAGAAGCTAGTTGCCATATTATGAAAACACTCATGCAGTTCTCTTGGGCAAGGAGCTGAGGTGTCCTGAAAACAGCCATATGAGTGCGCCATCTTGGAAGCAGATCCTCCAGGCCAGTCCAGCCTTCAGATGAGTATAGAGTCTTGGCCAACATCTTGACCACAACTTCACGAAAGAGATGCCCTGAGCCAAAACCACCCAGATAAGCCACTCTCAGATTCGTGATTCTCAGGAAGTATGAGGTAATAATTGCTTGATGCTTTTAGCTGGGGGAATTTGTTATGCTGTGATATCTAATATAGTTGGACCACACTTGCCTGGGACCAATGTCTGCAGCCAATTCAGTCTTCATTTATTTACTCAATCACTCATTCACTCATATACCAAATATTTACCATAAGCCGACCATTTGTCACATACTACATTTGGGCACCAGGTCATTCTGCGCTGAATAAAACAGACCACAGATGCTGCTATGATATAAGCTATATCCTAGTGGGGCGGGGGCTGGGGGTTGGAAAGAAAATTTGGTGAACTATGGAGGAAATAAACAGGGACCAGTGATTCAGACAACAGGGTGACCCCTAGGAAGGGTGATTAGGGAAGGCTTTCTGAAGGGGTGACATCCAAGGTGAAATCTAAAGGGTAAGCAGGAACAAGCAATGAGAAAAGGTGGGCAAAGGATCCAAGGAGAGGGACAAGCAGGTGCTAAGGCCCTGGGGCAGGACAGGTACTATGGCTGGAGCACAGGGCACACGGGGGCAGGGGGAGCAAGATGGAACTGCAGAACCCAGCAGTGGCTGAGCCCTCTTGGGCTATGTAGACCAACCAAGAAGAGTGGGTTTCATCTGAAGGGGATGGGACGGCGTACTAGCTACTGTTGACTTTTGTTGAAGTGCTCTCTTGCTGATGAGTGGAAAAGAGGAAAGACAAGGCACTGGGGGACCAGGAGGAACAGGGATGTCACCATCACACTGAGAGGAGAGAGGGTGGTTGCAATGTCAGGGGGAAGAGGGAAAGTAAGCAGATGGAAAGTGCTAGAATAAGCATTAAGTGACAGAGAGAGGATCCCTGGTGACATGGTCTGGTTGCAATAATCCTGGGAATATTGTTGCCTTTGATCAGAATAAGATAGTGGGGGGGAGTGGAGGGGAGGGGGGAGATGGGCATGGAGGAGGGCACTTGTGGGGATGAGCACTGGGTGTTATATGGAAACCAATTGACAATAAACTATTTGTAAAAAAAAAAAAAGAAAGAAAGAAAAGAAAAAAGAAGAAAAAAAAAGATAGTGTGGGAGAAGAGCAGGTCTGGGAAGACAGTGTTTAGGGGGAAGTTGATAGACCTAGTTGTGCATGATGAAGCTGAAAAGCTGGCATAGCCCAGGCAAGATGTTGGGTCCCGAACCTTGACCTGCCTTACTACTGTTTCCAAGGTAAACTCAACCCAAACCCATCACATCAGAAAAACAAGCCACTCTGAGTTAAGACAGACTTGCCTCCCTACCTCCAGACAAGGACCTTCCCTCATTTCTGCACCTTGAAGAGGCCCCCAGTCACCACTGTGAACCCAAAGGAGATGCTAGCAGCTTGTGTTTTGGAGGACCACCATCTTGTTACACAACCATCCCTTCTGCACCACTGGATGGAGAGCAGAGGCCCAACTTCACCTTTACATTTCCCCAGCATCTCTCAGTACCTCCAATCTCTGCACCCTCTTGCCATCCTCAGTACTCTGCCCTGCAAGTCACAGCAGAGTGGACTTGCCAAAGAAGAAAGTAAAAAGTGAGGTCCTTGTGTTGGTGATGGCTGCTTCATGTCTATGCCTGGAGAACAAAGAAACACAGCCTGAGGGATTTGTGCCCTGGTTGGGAACCCAGAGTCAAAATGAGATGTTTGAAGGCATCTGAGGTCACAGTGCCAACTTATGTGGCCAGAGGAGAGCAGGGGTCCCATGGGGAGAGTGTGTGGAGCGGCAAGTTGGGGAGGGGGTTCCTAAAATTACTGTGGTCACCACTGATGGGTGCTGTGGCCTCCACCCCAGAGATGATACATCCTAACTGCAAGGAAGTGACATGTCACAGGGGTGTGGGTGGCCCCCTGAAGAGGAAATGTTCTGATGTGGTTCCACAGTGTGAGGGTGAATGTGGATAGTGAGAGGAGCAGCTGTGGGCTGTGGAGAGGGACGGCAATCTCACACCAACACCAGACCTGGATTGGGACCTGTCCCCAGATTGAGAAGAGCCCAGGGCACCAGGTCGTGGGCTCTGCTCCGGCCCGTGCTCTTCTCTCCCCAAGCTTCCTCCACCATGACCAGCTCGAGTGACCATGGAAGAAGACTGTGGGGACCAAAGCCAGGCTGGACAAGGAACCAAAGAAGCCTAGGAAAGCAGAAGTGGGACGCGGAGACCAGAACTTCTGTGAGAGGCTTGAAATTGTTTCCCCTCAAGAGCCTGACATTGCTGTGGGTGACGTCTGTGCCGTAGGAATGACCCCAGGGGACGGGAGGGCATGGCTGCCTGCAGCTCTGCTCCTTCTGCAAGTCCCAGGTGAGTGGAGCCGAGCCTGGGCAGGGAAGTCGACCCTGGGTGGGAGGGAGGGTAGGGAGAGGTGGGGAGGAGACGCCCAAGGGGAAGGAAGAAGGATGTGGGAGGAAAGAGGGAGAGCAGAGAAAATTCCAGGAGTGGCCAGCTCCTGCCTCAGCAGCGACCAGGAGGATTCAGCGTGAGTCTTGTCCATTGTGCTGGACAGAGCAGCACTGACGAGAGGGGAACCTGGGCTCGCCATTACCTTCATTGTCATGGTCAGAAGTGATGTCTTGGAGCATCACACACACACACACACACACACACACACACACACACACACACACACACACCATGGACACCCTCTCCTTATCCACTTTGCGAGGAAGAAGCTCCTTCCCCTTCATCTTCTCCCTTGAGTCCCGCCAAGGCCTCCTCCAGGTCACGAGGGCCTTTGAGGGACCCAGGGGGTATCTTGACCCCAAAGCCCGTGACCCAGGCCCATCTGGTGAGGGGCCTGCACTCGGCTGTGTTTTCCAGGCTGTTTGTCTATAAGTGGCCCCACCTCCGTGTCAGGCCCCATGGGGGGATCCCTGAGCGTGCGGTGTTCATATGAAGAGCGGTTAAGAGGATATCCCAAATACTGGTGCAAACCAGCATGTTTCCGGAAGATTGTGGAGACCAAAGAGTCAGACAGAGAAGTGAGGAGTGGCCGCGTGTCCATCAGGGACCATCCTGCAAACCTCACCTTCACAGTGACCTTGGAGAACCTCGTAGAGGATGATGCAGGAACATATCGGTGTGGGGTCGATACATCCTGGTTAGGATTCTCTGGAGAGCCCACCCTCACCATCGAGGTATCTGTGACCCCAGGTGAGCTGTATGCACCCCTCCCCCAGCGCCAGCACCAGGGCCCCTGAGACTGGGGCTTATCACCCCAAACCTTCAGGAAAGCAGTGACACGTGGGACAGAAGAGTGAGGAGAGGATGGTGCTGGTGACGGGGACACCGGGGATGTGTACGCATGTGCTCTCATGAGTGTGTCCACATGTGTGTGTTGAGATGTGTGTACATTCGGGTGTACACTCCCACTCACACAAGCACATGCACACCCCTGGCTGTCGGAGACGCCTCTGTGTGCCACACCCTGACACGCTGTCATGCCTAAAGCTCTCCCAGGGAGGGGTCAAGGAGTGGTCCTGAGTCTGGGGACAGCTGCCTTCTTGTCCTGACAAGGGTCCTGTTCACTCTGAGGGGGACCTCGAGTCTCCTCCTGGACTCTCTCTCCTCCCAGTGGGGAACAGAACTCCTTCAGGTATTTCCTCCTCACCCTTACAGGCTGCCCATGACCCCGGGGCCCTAGAGAACATCACATGTCATGGATGGTTCCTGGGGCACCAGCCTCACTGCTGTGACTCTGAAGGTCTGCAGCAACCTTGAGGGGGGCCCAAGAACAAGCCTGAAACCCTGATCTGGGGCTTCTGTGACCATTTGGGAACCACCCTGCCTTCCAGCTTGACCCTCCCCCTCTTCCTCTGGCACCTTGTCCCCACAGGAGGGAACCCAGAAAAACCCTTGAAAGTGCTCCCCTCAGACAAAGGAGAAGGATGGGAAAATATGTTCTCAGGTCTTATGGCCCCAAATACACCAAATAATTCTTCTTTAATAGAACCTTGTTTTTGTTTCCGAAGAATCAAATGAAGGTCATCCTTCTAAGTGTGTAGATTTTTTTAATTAAAAAAAAAAAAAGGTTATTATTTTTGAAGGAGAGAGAGAGATAGCATGAATAAGGGAGAGGCAGAGAGAGACACACACACAGACTCTGAAGCAGGCTCCAGGCTCTGAGCTGTCAGCAGAGAGTCTGACGCGGGGCTGGAACTCACAAACCATGAGATCATGACCTGAGACAAAGTTGGACGCTTAACCGACTGAGCCACCCAGGCGCCCCTAAGTATGTGGATTTTTATCTCGTGCTCTTATTCTGATGTTGTCTCTGGTTCCTCTGAGGTCCTTCTTGTAGGTCTTAGTTTCTCTCTCTCACACATGGGGTATTTCCCTCCCATGCCCTCTGTGGGTTCCTCCTATTCAACAGCGAGGAGCTAAGCATCCACAGATGTCCCTGGGGACATGAGGGAAAGACCTTTTCCCCATTGGCCTCAGGACAGGCCACTTTCTATGGGGTCCACCGGCTGTGTGTCTGCCTCCCTAGATCTTTCTTTCTGGTCATTCCGTCCCCCAGAGAGGACTGTGCTGACAGTTCGGGGACCAAGAGCTTTGAGTGCCATGGTTTCCGTCACTCAGTGCAGACTGTTTCATGATCCTCACCCCAGACGTCAGCCCTACCTAAGGACCCTGGTTCCCTCAATCTGGATCTATCTCTACAGAGTAAACATCAGCCCGTCCTCTGCTGGGGTGCACACGGTGTGGCTGTGGCTGAGCCTGGAGCTATGTGTTCGTTCTTTCCACACACTCAAATCCCTGGTGAGCAGGATGACCCACCACGTGAAGGTGCCCACCTGGCCAGGATGCACCTGCAGCGCAGGCCAAGGGAGGACCAGAGACCCAGTCAGGCCTGGGTGTGCTAGGGGGGATGTGGAGCCAGGACATCTGTCCAGATGGCCTGAGTGACCAGGTCAATGTGAGTCAGAGCCACATAGCTGACCGAGTGGGAGACGGGGGTGAGGGTGGGAGGCCTGACATGCGCTTCCTTCTCAGGCAGCACTAAAGCCCCCAGCATCGTGAGGTCCACCAGCCCCCCAAGTCTTCACACGACCCTGCCAGCACCCATGGGGAGCACTGCGATCCGGCAAGAGACCCCCAGTCCCAGCCAACATCCTGGGTAAGGGGCTTGCATGTGGAGATCTGTGACACCTGGCTGACCTCTAGACCACCCGGGGAGCCGAGGAATGAGGCCCTGCACCCTCGTTATTTACCAAGTCCACACCTAACCGGGAAGGTCCTTCTGTGGACACAGCCCTGAGCCACTGAGCCACAATCCTGCTCTGACAAAAGCAGAATTCACACAAGGACTAGGTCAACACACTCATCGAGATAAGTGTGCGAGCTTGTGATGAGTGCTTGGAGAAAATCCGTCAGAGGGGTCGGGAGGGCCCCTGCGGGAGGGGGACGGGAGCGCTATCCAATACACAACCTCCAGGGAAAGGACATTTCACTGGAGAACTGCAGGATTTGGGGAGCCCGCGCTCAGGTGTCTGCAGAAATGGGGCTCCGGGAAGGGGGAAGGGCAAGTGTCAAGAATTTTACAAAAGGCGCCTTCAGGACTTGGCCCAGGCCAGGTGCTCTGGGAGCCGGTGGCCTCTGCACTGTTCCCCTGTGCCCTCCCCCCAGCCCTGGCCAGAGTGGCATCCTGTTGATCACCAGGCCTCTGAAGAAAGTGAAAGCTGAGCCATGTCATTCGTCCCTTCTATCATCAGCCACTGAATTAGGTGCCGCACAGGCACCAGATTAAAGCTAACGTTTCTGATCCCTCGTGGGAGATACTATTTATGGGAGAACAGACACCAGACAAATAACCCCGATACCGATTTCTAGCCCACAGACAGGGTAACCCCCAAACGCAGAAGGCTGAGGTAGAACCCTCTTCCCTGCCCAGGATCCACGTCACTCCCTGCGGCCTCCCTCACATCACTCCAGTGGCCGGGCCCTTTTCCGTGTCCACCAACCTGTCTCAAGGGCACCTGTTATCCCGATGGGCACGGGACTGGTCTGCTGTGTGGGGCTGCCCCGCCCATGGACCCACCTGGGACTGATTTCGGTATAGTTTGTTGGGGCCTCAGGACATGGGCACAGGGACAGAAGGAAAGCGGAGGGTATCAGGGCCTCTCCCTGAGGATGTGGCTCACCGTCCGTCACCGTGTCCCCCACAGGTCCCCGCTCAGCAGCGTCTACTTCCTGCTCCTGGTCTTCCTGGAGGTGCCCCTGCTTCTGAGCATGCTCAGTGTGGTCCTCTGGGTAACCAGACCTCAGAGGGGCTCTGGGGGGCAGGCGGAGTCAGCCGGATTATGAAAACCAGTAACACCTATTGCCCATGGATGATCTGCTCCGGAGAACACAGCACCTTTCATGGATGAGAACGGCCTTCTGATAACACATCCAGCTGTTATCCACATTTCCATCAGAACACTCTGTAAACACTTTTGGTAACTTTTTTCTTGCAATGTATCATAGACACAAAGGAATAGATCCAATAAATGCATACTCCTTTAAATACATTTTAATGTTTATTTATTTTTGAGAGAGGCAGAATGTGAGGGAGGGAGGGGCAGAGAGACAGGGAGACACAGAGTCTGAAGCAGGCTCCAGTTTCTGAGCCGTCAGCACAGAGCCTGACGCGGGGCTCGAACCCACAAACCATGAGATTGTGACCTGAGCCGAAGTTGGAGTTGGTGTGCTTAACCAACTGAGCCACCCAGGGGCCCCTCCCACATTTTTTTTTTAAAAAACGAACTGAACTCAGTCGCATTATAGGAGTTGTTATTCTTGTTGTTATTGAGCTGCATGAGCTCTTTATATATTTGGGATATTAACCCCTTATCTGATACATCATTTGCAAATATGTTCTCCCATTCTTTTGGCTATCTTTTCATTTTATTGACTGTTTCTTTTGCTGTGCACAAGTTTCTAATTTGAGGGGTGCCTGGGTGGCTCAGTTGGTTAAGCATCCAACGCTCGGTTTCAGCTGAGGTCCTGATCTCACAGTCGATGAGCTGGATTCTGCGTCTTCCTCTCTCTCTGTCCCTCCCCTTCTTATACTCTGTCTTTCAAAAAATAAAATAAAATGTTAAAAATTTTTTTTTCATATTTTAAAAACTAAGCTGTTCTTCAAGAGTTTTAGCTACTGGGTTATAAATCAGGTTCCCAATTAAATTACATCAGGTTAAGGCTAGAATTTGCTTTATTACTAATGAGGAAACCCAGTCCATCAGGCTTGTCTCAGCCTCCTGCCCTGGGCTTATTTTGGTCGACTGTCTATCTAGCATCTGAAGCTTTACTCAGGGCACTAATAATAACGTAGAGTGCTGGCCACATCCTAGGATTGTATCCTCAGAACTTCGCATGTCTTTCTCACTTAATTCCTATAACAATTCTTATGAGCCCAGTTTACAGATAAAAAACTGAGGCTCAGAAAGGTTTAATAAGTTGCCTGTGGTCACACAGCTTGTAAGCGGCGCTTGGGGTTAGAGCCCAGGTGTGTCTGATCCTACAGGCTGCACTTTTATGCCCTTGGCTGTAATGTCTGAGCAAATGCATCCCTAGGTGTGCCAAGGTTGCTCACCTGACACCTGACTAAGAAGGAGGCACTGCTCTCTGCTGCCGGGGCCCACTGCTGGGGTAGAGAAACATTTCTGGAGCTGACACCCAGGCTATTGTACCCCTTGGACCCAAAGCCCAATAGGTTCAACGCATCCTGCTCTGACTCTTCTGCAGACACATCTCATCCTGCCCCTCCTCATTCCATACAGCCGTCTCCTCTCTCCTACATAGTGGGGAATTTTGTGCCCTGTGACCAGGCCCTTCTAAGAAATTACACCCACTTTGCTGAATAATTAAAAGCAGGAAATACTCTATAAAAGGAAGTGAATGGGTAAGAAACGCAAAGGCGGTCCAGTCAAACAAAGCGCAAGCTGGGGCTCAGGCAGAGCTCCGAGAGTCCAGCTTGGATCCGAGTGTGAGCTCCAGTGGTGGGTGCAGAGGGGCAAGGCGCCGGGGAGGCAAGACCATGCGGCTGCCGCTAGTTCTTCTCCTTCTCAGGCTCCCAGGTGAGTGCAACTGGGGCCATGGGGACTTTGTACTACTAGGGCAGGGCAGGGGATGGAGAGCTATCCCAGGCTGAAGGGGAAGTGTCAGATTGGGGGAAATGAGTAGTGGCTTTTTTCGTGTATTCAGCAAAAGCATGCTGGGGTCTTACTTTGTGGCACACATACACCAGGCCCTGAGGAAGTGAAGGGAAAAGGGAAACAGGGCTGGCCATTAAAAAGAGAACCCCATGGGATGCCTGGGTGGCTTAGTTGGTTAAGCATCCAACTTCGGCTCAGGTCGGCTCAGATCATGATCTCGCGGTCTGTGAGTTCAAGCCCCGCGTCGGGCTCTGTGCTGACAGCTCAGAGCCTGGAGCCTGCTTCCGATTCTGTGCCTCCCTCTCTTTCTGCCCCTCCCTTACTCTCACTCTGTCTCTCTCCCTCTCAAAAATAAACATTAAAAAATTAAAAAGAGGACCCCCAACACTCAGTGGATGAGGCATACAGATTAACAGCAAACAATGGCAGGACAGTGAGGCATTGATGGTACTATGCTCAGAGGTCCAAGCAAGTCTGGCTGAAGGAGACACGGAAAGCCATATAGACAGCACTCGTTTGATGAGCCTTGAAGAAAGGGATCAGCCAATCAAGCAGAGAATGGAAAAGAGCATGCCAGGGAGAGGGAACTGCTTCGCCAAGACATGGAGGCTTGAGAAAACATGGTGCATTCCTGCACTGGGGGACCCACGGTGGGCAGGGGGCCTTGGGGCGGCTGGTTGGTCATGAGGTTGGAAATGCACAAGACAAGATTACAAAGGCCCTTGGAGGTCATGCCCAGGAACCAAGGCTTTCAAAGAGAAAATTGCTCAGGAACCCAGGTGGGATGATGGGAGATAAGTTGTGTGTTTTTTTCCTCTGTGGAAAGCCACTGCACAATGAAAAGACATGAGGGACAGTCCAGACGTTTGCAAAACATATGCTGTATGTGTGGGTCACACAGTCTTCTCTCTGGGCCAGTAGGCTGACAATCTGGCAAAACAAGACTGGTCCACAGGGGTCCCCCACAAAGGGCATAGCTAGGGAGTTGGGAGATTGGAGTTCCAGTCCTGACAGGGGTGTGTGACACAGGCAAGTCCCTCATTGCTCTAAGACCTGGATTTCTGGTATGAATAGAAAGTCCCTGAAGCCCTTCCTAGCTGTAATGTTGTGGGACTCTGCTATTCGGATCAGATATAAATAGATGAAGGCTGTCATTCTCAAAGTATTTCTGTCATTGTGGATTTTATCAGTGACGTAGAAGCCCTGTGATGATACCTGTAGATGAGTGAGGAAGGCAGTGGCTTCTCTGTGACTTTTACGCTCCTTAGGCAGGACTCCAAATGGCCCAGAATTCCCAAAAGACAGCAATTCAGAACGCCCGTATTTCCCCCTGGACTCTACCTGTACATTTGAGTTCAGAGACCTCCATCTGCTCCCTCTCTTAATCCCAACATCCAGCTCAGCAGGAGGCCAAGGGGAAGGGTGAGCTACCTGGGCTTGCACACACAATACACTCATGCAATGAAGTCAGATGCACACACTCCCATTCACATCTGTATTCTCACACACTCACACAGAGTTACACACACTCATGTGCACACACAGGCTCACATAGTGTGTCTTATATGCACACACCCACACAAACTGTCTTCTCCCCCAGATGAAGGCTGGAAGCACAGTGGCTGCTCTATGGCTCAGGCAGGGTGGGTGCTGCAGAGGTGAGGCAGGGTGTCCCTAGTCCTCCTTCAACTTTCCGAGTTAATGAGGGAAGGGGGTGAAGTAGCCAATGATACAAGAAAAGCCACCCCATTAGCAGATGGCCATTAGACACTCTGGGGTTACTTCTGTGAAATGAAGAACAAAAGTGGATGGGGTGAAGTCAGAATGACCCAACTTCCGGTAGGACGTTCTTGTCTGCTGAGTTTCATGGTTCTGCAGCAACCTAAAGGGGAAGGCAGGGTGCTGGCATAGTTGGGTGCTCAGTAAGCATTTGCAAGTGGAAGAACAAGACCACAGACTTGTAGCCCAGAAATTACTCTTTGGAGCCTGAGATGATGCAGTTGCAGGGGGACATGAGCAGGGACGCCTACTCCATCAGTGCAAGGCAAGGTGGGATCCACTCCCTTTGCACATCCCAGACCCTCATGAGCCCCTCTGCTCTGAGCCCTGCCCTTGGCTGCCTTTGGCCCATTTTGTGTGTCATTTGGCATTTGCTCTCAACCCAGAGAGCTCAACTATTGTCTCGATTTTGACACAAGACTATTCACCAAGGATTGTGCATACGGGGCCAACTTCCCCCAAGGATTGATATGAAGGGTGAGGATTTCTATCTCAGGGTCAGGGGAAGGAAAATTGGAGATTCAAACAGCTTAGGCTTTGAAAACCCGTCAGCCCTGCTCCTGAGTCCTGCTCCGAGCTGACTGCTCTCCTACCATCTCCTCCTTCTTTCAGACCAACTCTCGACAAAACACAAAGACTTGATGAATAGTTCCACCCATTACGGTCTGTGTTTATAAAAACCCCCCACATATTTCTTTTTCAAACAAGCCCAATCACATTATGGATGCTTCACTGCCAGATTAAGTTAGCAAAGCTACAGTAGGAATAGTATCTCTCTTCCATTGTTTGTGATTATTGGCAAATACCATCTATACTGAGTCTCAGCGCTCCAGGCTCCAAGCTGTCAGCACAGAGCCCAACGGAGGGCTCAAACCCACGAACCGTGAGATCATGATCTGAGCTGTAGTCAGACACTTAACTGACTGAGCCACCCAGGGGCCCTTTCTGCTGACTCTTGCATTTGATTTTAATTTACATCATTGCTGTCTCTTAGCAACCTTGTTCCTAATCGAGTCCTTCTGATTATTACCATTTTTTCTTAGTTGTTTTGTTAATGATATAAACATTTTCACATAATAGAATGTATGATTTAGAAAGGGAAATTCGGGGGCCGCCTGGGTGACTCGGTTAAGCATCTGACTTTCAGCTCAGGTCATGATCTCACAGTTTGTGGGTTTGAGCCCCGTGTCGGGCTCTGTGCTGACAGCTCAGAGGCTGGAGGTTGCTTCGGATTCTGTGTCTCCCTCTCTTTCTGCCCCTCTTCTGCTCACACTCTGTCTCTGTCTCCCTCTCTCTCAAAAATAAATAAACTTAAAAAAAAAAAGAAAATGAAATTCTGCCCTCCACCCCAATTCCAGCACTGACCACTGATAAGAGTTTGCAACAACTACGGTCCTTTTTTTTCCCTACGCATGCGCTATAGGAAAACCACAGAAATAGGAGCCTACACACTCTGTTAGGCAACTTTTCAAAAACCTGATAATATCATATCTGGGACATCTTCCCTGTTATTACCTGTGATTTGTCTTCTTCTCTTAAACGTGGTATGGGTGGACCATAATTTATTAGCCTAATGTCCCAGGAATTGCATTTGAATTGAATTTGCTTCCAAGGTTTACCGTTTGTTATGTTAGCACTGCAATTAGAAGCCTTATACTTCAGTGCCCACTGGTGTGGAAATTATAGTTCATGCCAGAATCAAAATGATTATGGCCAAAAATCTTGACGGCCAGGTCCTTTGTAAAAACAATCATAAGCTTAGGGCACCTGGGTGGCTCAGTCGGTTAAGCATCTGACTTCAGCTCAGGTCATGAGCTCACCATTTATGGGTCTGAGTCCTGCATTGGGCTCTGTGCCGACAGCTCAGAGCCTGGAGCCTCCTTCAGATTCTGTGTCTCCCTCTCTCCCTGCTCCTCCCCTACTTATGCTCTATCTCTCAAAAAGTGAATAAACATTTAAAAAAAAATCATAAACTTTATTGGTACCTTCCAGTATCCAAATACTACACAAGGCATGGGGATTGGGAGGGAGGAAGAGAGAAAAAACACAAACACAAAATCTCTGCTCCTCAGGACAGGGTGTCTAGTAAGGGAGACAATGAGAGAGGCTGGTAATGGTAACAAAATACCAGTGCAGCACTCAAGTTCCGATAAAGGTATGGGAACAATGGGAGGAACCAGTTCTGATTGGGAAGGGGAATAAAGTGACCAGTAGGCGGGCTGGGCTCGAAGAAGGGTTTCCAGGTGGAAGGTAGGATGTGAGCCACAACGTGGTCCCCGAGAGAGCACATCAGAGTCAGAGGAAGGGAAAAGTGGGGGCACCAGGTTATAGGATCCAGTGGAGGCAGGGAGGGGCAGGAAATGGTGCTGGACAGAGAGAACTTGGATCTAGATGGAAGAAAAAACACTTGAGTGCCCAACTAGAGTTTTAAATCATTCTGAGACAGTGGCGAGTGGCTACAGTGGAGATCATGAGATGTTGCTCATGACAAGTGTAGTTGAGGATGGGCTAGGGAGAGTTTTAGCACGTAACTCCAGCAGTGATATGCAGAGGGCATAGCAGAAGGGGGTGCAGCAGGCGCTGGAGAAACCTCTCTGGATGCCGCAGCCATGATCTAGGCACCAGATGAGCTCCTGACCTGGTGACAGGCTCCCGCTGATGGGGCAACCTCTGAAAGAAGGTCTGCGGTTTGACATGTACCCTAGTGTTACAACAATCCACAGAATGGAAAGTAGCACAGCCATTTTGCAAACCGAGAAACAAGACCCAGGGAGGTTAAGTAGCTTGCTCAAGATTTCCCAGGGAGCGTGTGGGAGACGTGTCTTTCTGTGTCCAAATTCACTCTCTTTCTGCCGTGTCATGCTGTCATCACGAAGGGTAAGAGTAGGGGAGGAAAGAAGAGAATCATTTTGAAAAACATTTTTGAGGCAGAGTTGACTACATTGTTTACCAATCAGTTGTGGAGGATAAGGGTAAGGCAGGGTCAATGAAGATGCCAAGATCTCTTCCAAATGCGCTAGTAACACAGTTGGGTTTTTGTTTTTTTTTAATGTTTATTTTTGAGAGAGAGAGAGAGAGAGAGCAAGGGAAGGGCAGAGAGAGAGAGGGAGACACAGAATCTGAAGCAGCCTCCAGGCTCTGAGCTGTCAGCACAGAGCCCAACGCAGGGCTCGAACTCACAAACTGAGATCATGATGTGAGTTGAAGTCAGGCAACCGACTGAGCCACCCAGGCGCCCCATGACGCAGTTGATTTGAAGAGCATAGAGTTTGTTCTGCTGATTGAATACTACTTTTATTTCCAAAGGCTGCTGTAACAAATTACCACACACTTAGTGGCTTGAAACGACAACATTTGCTACCTTACAATTCCGAAAGTCAGAAGTCCAAAATAGTCTGACTGGCTGAAATCAAGGTGCAGGCTAAGTTGGATTCCTTCCAGAGGTTCTGGGGAAGGCCCCTCTTCCTCACCCTGTTTGGCTTTGAGAGGCCACCTACATTCTTTGGTTTATGATCCTTTTATCTTTCTTTAGAGCTGACAATGTAGCATCTTCCAATCTCCCCCCTGACTCTGACACACTCTTTTTCATCTTATAAGGACCCTGGTGACTACATCAGACCCGACTGAATAATGCAGGATAATCGCCCCACCTCAAGGTTGTTAACTTAATCACATCTGCAAATTCCCTTTGGCCCTGTAAGGTGACACATTCAGACATTATTGGGATTAGGACGTCATTGTCTTTGGGGGGTATAATTCTGCCAACCACAAATGCAAACCTTGAGCCAACTACAATGGCATCAGGGAGAACGTTCAAAGTGTGAGAAAATGCATCTTCCTGGTACAACAGACCTGACTCTCTCTGCCTCATGTAGATGTGCCCACCTCCCTGGCCTGGTCCTGAGGCTCTCAGGCTAAGACAGTCAGGAGAGGCTTCCATTGTGTTTCTCTGCTTCTCTTGCTTGTTCACTCCCATGTGATCAAGGCACAAGTGGTCATGGCCAAGGACAGAGTATCTGCCCGGCCACATACGGTCAGCTTAACTAGAATCAGTCCCCAGAGCAGCAGAATGCCCTTTCCACTTGTGCTTGTCCTTAACCCGTCCCACTCTGAGTAGACCTTTGCTAGCTAGCATGCTCTGTGAGTCCTCCACTGGAGAGAATACTGAAGAAGACCAAATTCAGGGTGGATTTAGTTCTGTGACTATTGACTTTGGGGTAGACATGTACAGTGTGTGTATGGAAATGGTAGACTAGTGCTAAGGGGAGAATTTGGGAAACAAATATGGGATTTGGGGGACCATCAGCATATCAGCAATAACCGAAATCATAGAAATGGAGAATCCCTCCATGCGGGTGTAATAAAGTGGGACAACATGAGACCCAGAAAGGGGACCCTGAGCAACCCCTGAGGTGTTCTCAGGCTGGTTCATACCGACTCACAAGAACTGACTCGGGGCCTCTCCTCAGCTGTGTGGCCAGTCACATTGCCTCGACTGTCCGAAACCAGCCAGGACGGGAATAGTTACACTAAAGAAATTGGGGAACAGCTACAGATGGAGATTTCCTTCCCCAGAGGCTTAGTTGTTACGTATTAATTTACCAACACACCATTGTCTGCACCAAGATTTAAAGAGGGAAGAAGAGAAATCAGTAGAGGCCTCTGAGATGAGCGGTCAGAGAAGAGGTTAGAGAGGGCCGAGTCAGGAAGACAAGGAAAGACCGTGTCAGAGAGTCAGGAGTTTCGCTGCTGAGAGCAGGGTCTGGAAGATGAAGGACCCAAGAGGTTGGGACATCATTACCAAGAGAGCTGATGGGGAAGCTGGATGGAGGAGGCGGATGTTCAGGACGAGGTGGGGGCATGGCCGAGAAGGCAAAGACGCTGGCTCAGTCTCTGGACACCAGCCTGGGGCCACTTGAGCCCAATGGCTCCAGGTAGCAGTAAATGTTTCTTGGGATTCTGTTTTCTAGGCTGCTTCTCCATCGAAGGCCCAGAGTCTGTGAGGGGCCTAGAGAGGGAATCTGTAACCGTGCGGTGTGACTATGAACCAGGATGGGAGACCTACAGGAAGTGGTGGTGTCGTGGAGCATACTGGGATTTGTGCAGGATTCTCGTTCAAACCACAGGATCCCAGCAAGAAGTGAAGGAAGACCGTGTGTCCATCAGGGACAACCAGAGTCACCGCTTCCTTACAGTGACTATGGAGAAAGTCAGGCAAGATGACACAGACACTTATTGGTGTGGGATCAGAAAGAGTGGACCTGACCTCGGGGCACGTATCAGAGTGACCATTGAGCCAGGTAAGAACTTTCTTCTGTACGCAGTGAGGCCTTCGTGCTCAGGACAGGAAGACAGAGTGCTCCTGCTTCCTCCTCCCCGAGGGCAGAAGGGAAATAGCTGAGTGCCTGAAAACAGTCTCCATCAGTCGCTGAGGTTCCCTGAGGCATCTGTTGATGCAGAGCAGGGCTGGCTGGCCCTGGGGTGGGGGTGAGGACATGGACCCTGCCTTGGATGTCCATGGCCCAGGCCTGCTCTCCTGGGGACTGGACAACCCTGGCCACCCCACATTATCTGATCAGAAGCCTGGCTGGACCTTAGACCCCCACAGGCATTACTCTAGGAAAAGGTCAGTCTCTGATAGTCACACTCCAGACCTGCCAATACACAGAGAGGGGCAGAGGGGCCACCTGGGGAAGCCAAGAGGGTCCCAGCACTGAACCCCAGAAACTTGGCCAGCCCAGCGTGGCTGCGGGCCCCCAGCCTCTCTCTTCTCTACTTTTTCTCAGCTGCATAAGAACAAGCAGGGAGTTAGAGGGACCCAGGAAGGGGCTGGTGTACCAGTGGATGCTTTAAGGGGAAAGGAAGACTTTGACCATTCAGCTCATGTCAGGGGACGCTGCTGGTTTTTCTGGAGTCTCCTCAGGCCTGGGACTCAACTAAAAAACAGGTCATGGATACTCAGTGCCAGGCTGGTCTCAGGAATCCATGACCAAACAGGCCACCATAAATTGTCTTCATAGCATCTCATGAAGATGTTTGATTTATCACAACCTTTGCTCATGATTGAGCCAGACGTGCCCTCTTGTTCACCAGCCCTCCTCCCCCTTACCACCCCAATAACTGGGGCACCTCATTTCCAGAACCACCTGTCCCTGAGCTCATCTCAGGCACCACTTGAGCAGAAAAGACCAGGGACTTCCCCTCCCTGCGGAAAGTCCCACCTAAGAGAGATAAGCAGAGAAGAGGTGGGAAGATTTATGTCTCTCCCCACAACCCAGTAGAGTGCTTCTTCCTGCTTCATGTTTATTTCTTCTTGCCACACTTGAAAGTGATGGAAAGTGGCGGTGCTGCGATTCAGATGACTCAACAGCAGGGAAGAAGCATGGAGACTGTATCCAGAGACCCAATGCCCCAGTGCAGGGGCAGGGCAGCTCCCGGGGAGGGCTGGCAGAGCACTGTGAGCTGCGCATGAGTCCCTGTCTGTGCCCATAACCTGTGGCCGACTCTGCCTGTGTCTAGAGGGAACGCTCCTGACCACCTTGGCGAGCATGCTATCCAGGACGACTGCCAATGGCCGTGCTGGGGTGTCGTCCGTCTCCCACAGCAGGTAAGTGGTTGCTATCCTTACCCTGCCTCTACTTGGGGCGTTCCTGCCCATCTCACCCCTCACCCCTGTCTCCCAAGGCCAGCCCTCCCTGGAAAGCCACTCTGTAGAAGCTTTCTCTATGAGCATCATCCTCACATTTAGTTGTCAGCAAAAAAGACCTGATGATCTAGTACGGGCCAAGGGGAGATAATACAGGATCTCCACCGTGCAAGGCACCAGGGGCCACCAGGCAGGAATGTGGGTCAGCAGCCTGGAGCTGGTATTTTCAGGAGCAGCGAAGTCACAGAGGCAGGCACACAGCCTGTCATGAGGGACCCTACTGTGCCCATAGGCACTCTGGGAAAGGGGAACCACAGGAGGGACAATTAGAAAGAAACATGGGCTCATGGGTCGCCTGGGTGGCTCAGTCAGCTAAGCATCAGATTCCGTGTCTCCCCCTCTCTCTCTGCTCCTCCCCCCCAAAATAAATAAACATTAGAAAAAAATAGGGGCGCCTGGGTGGCTTAGTCGGTTCAGCGTCCGACTTTCGCTTAGGTCATGATCTCGCGGTTCGTGGGTTCGAGCCCCGCGTCAGGCTCTGTGCTGTCTGCCAGCTCAGAGCCTGGAGCCTGTTTCAGAGTCTGTGATTCCCTCTCTCTCTGACCCTCCCCTGCTCATGCTGTCTCTCTCCTAGAAATAAAATAAAACAAATATATATATAAAGAAAAAAATAGAGGGGCTCCTGGGTGACCCAGTTGGTTAAGCATTAGACATCAGCTCAGGTCATGATCTCACAGTTCATGAGTTCAAGCCCTGCATCAGGCTCTGTGCTGGCAGCTCAGAGCCGGGAGCCTGTTTTGGATTCTGTCTTCGTCTTCTCTCTGCCCCTACCCTGCTCTCATTCTGTGTCTCTCTCTCTCAAAAAAATAAACATTAAAAAAATTTTAATAAAGACAAAAAGAAAAGAAAGAAAGAAAAGAAGGTGGTTCCGAAACAAAGCAAAACCAAAAAGTTGAAGTTACTTCTGAGATGCCCTCAAGGTTGGACCATTGAGAAGGTTCACAACGGCCTTCAGAGTGGGGTTGCGGGGGCCCAGGGTCACAGTCTTGGCCATGCTGGCCAGTGCCCCTCTGTGTCAGGGCATCGAGCATGACGGTGCCTGAGGGGCCTGGGGCTCTGATGGCTCTCTCCCCTCTTGCAGGACCCACTACATCCTCCTGGTGTTCGTGAAGGTGCCCATCTTGCTCATACTAGTCGGTGTTCTCCTTTGGTTGAAGGGGCCTCAGTAACAACAGTCTAACTACATGAACTTGTCCTTGATCTTCTCACCAAAGACACAGCCGCTCAGACAGAAGGATGAGCAGAACCTTCCGACCCCTGGGCCCCATTTCCAGAGGAGACATGGGCTGTGGAAGAAATACTTCTGAGTCCTTAGGACGCGGTGACTGGGCACTAAGGGGCTGGCCAGGCACCCTCCCTGCTCTGTACAGCTCAAGGTCACAGCTCGGGGCCCTCCTGAGGAGTCAGGGGGTGCTGGAGAGCCAGTGTCTGTTCCACTCCTTCGGGTAGCAAATGCCCCCACCCCACGGGGGCTTATGGTCAGAGCTGCTGGGATGAAGCCTAAGCCCTGTCCTCTCTGCTGGAGAGAGCCGGGACAGAGCCAGAGACTGAAGCACAGAGAGAAGAAACAGGGGTGTGGGACAGAGACTGAGAGATGGAGCCCGGCCCAGGTGCTGCTCTGCTTCCTTCCTGAGATCAGCTCAGCACACCTTGTGTGTTTTTCTTAAGAAAACAAGGGTGTTTTCTTAAGCCAGCCACGTTGGGTTTGGATGACTTGTGCCCACAAGAACCCTAACTGATGCACGTGCACATGCACACACACACTCACACCCCAAAAAGGTGGTGGGTTCCTGGTTCTGGGGCATCCCCTCTGCCCCGGGGGGACACTCTGAGTGCACCGAGCAGAAGAGGGACCAGGAGTCTCTCTGGGCCCAGCTCCAGTGCTGACCTTCCGCCCTCCCCCACTCCTCCTCTGTCCCGGCTCCCCGAGCTCCCTGCCCCTCACCCCTCTGGGCCTGGGGCTTCCTGGGTGCTGCCTCTGTTCCTCGGGGCTGCTAGGCCTCAGAAACTACCTCAAGGTTGGGAATGGCAGTCAGGAAAACTGTCTGGGGGAAACAACGTTGCCTCTCCTAAATGACAATGTTTAAATAATCTTAATAATTACTTTCTTTAAATAATCTTAATGATTAAAAACGTCTGAAATAGGGCACCTGCCTGGCTCAGTCAGTGGAGTGTGAAACTCTTGATCTCAGGGTTGTGAGTTCAAGCTTCACATTGAGTGTAGAGACTACTTAAAAATAAAATCTTCAAGGGGTGCCTGGGTGGCTCAGTCGGTTAAGCATCCGACTCTTGGTTTCAGCTCAGGTCACGATCTCACAGTTTGTGAGTTCAAGCCCCATGTCAGGCTCTGCGCTGACAGTGCAGAGCCTGGTTGGGATTCTCTTTCTCGTCCCTCCCCTTCTCATACTGTCTTTGTGTCTCTCAAAATAAACAAATAAACTTAAATAAAATAAAATAAAATCTTTTAAAAAATGTCTGAGATAAACGATGTTTTTTTTCATTTGTCCATTTGGATGGATTTGGTCACTTTGTGCCTGATGGGTCATGGGTTGGTTAAGCATTTGACTCTTGATTTTGGCTCAGGCTGTGATCTCATGGTTTGTGAGTTCGAGCCCTATACTGGCTCTGTGCTGACAGTCCAGAGCTTGTTTGGGATTCTCTCTCTCTTTCTCTGCCTCATCTGTGCACTCTCTCAAAATAAATAAATAAAGTTTAAAAATAGATCTACCATCAGCAAATTTCAAGTAGACCGCACAGTATTACTATTTTTTAATACAGCACAGTGTTATTAACTACAGTCATCATACTATACATTAGAACCCAGAATTTATCTTGTAACTAACACTTTGTGCCCTCTGAGCAGCATCTCACCATTTTCCCCGTGCCCCAGCCTTTACTTCTCTGTGGAATGTTTCCTTCTGAACACCCAGGGCACATGTCCACCCTGCCCTTTGTTCTAATAGGTAGGCCCTGACTCTCAGCCTCAGGAGACTATGGGAAGATGCCTCACCAGTGGATAAAGGAGAAGTGAATCCCTGAATCCCTGTACCCAGTCTGGAAGATGGGACACTGTCCCCTATTTGGAAGCTATAGTGCCCTCTCTTTGCCCTTCGGCTGATGAGAAACCTTCTCCCACTTTATACTTGGTTTCGGGCTCTGGTCAGTGGCAGGCCTGAAATTCCCCTGGGCCCAGAGAAAATAGACTTAGAGTCAGACTGAGACCCATTGAGTCACTCTTTTGCGGACCAAGGTACACAGTCCACCAGCTCCAAAGGTCCACCTCTGTGAATACTTCCCTGGACCCAGCCTCCTAAAGATACGACCAGACTCAGGTGACAAGCATATCCTGGGAGGCAAAGCCAGCTGGCCCCCATGGATGCAAGGCTACTGGCAGTTGCTGCCCTGATGCCGGGTTTGCCCACAGTGTCTCATTGTTGATATTCAACAACCCTTATGTCTTTGTGAAGATTCTGTGGTTGGATTGCTACTCTCGTGACGTCATCAAAGAGAATACATTGGAGTAGGTGTCTGTCATCTGTCCTGAACACCTCCCCCAACTGCACACACACACACACACACACACACACACACACACACACACACACCACAAACTTCTGGGAACCGCCCCTTTGTTTCCCATGAGAACTGTCAAGCAAAACTTGTCTCTTACACCCACTGTCCAGGGTAGAGAGAAAGACAGAAATTATAAATTAGGCATTGGGGCAGGGTAGCATTTTCTAGTAAGTGTGTTTCCACTAGGAGCCTGGTGTCAAAGCCCCTGTGCCCTTCAACAGCTCTAGACAGGCACAGCTCCTCATATGCTCACTTCACCCAGAGTTAGGGGAGGCAGAGAAATGGAGAGAGTGGGAACACATTGCTCTTTTAAGAAGCAAACACGGTTGGGGCGCCTGGGTGACTCAGTAAGTTTAGAGCCCAACTCTTGCTTTCAGCTCAGGTCATGATCTCATGGTTTGCAGGTTCAAGCCCTGCATCAGGCTCTGTGCTAGCAGTGTGGGGTTGCTTGGGATTGTCTCTCACTCTCTCTCTCTCTCTCTCTGCCTCTCCCTCTACCTCTCTCTCTCTCAGAATAAAAAATAAACGTAACAATATATATATCTTGGGGCGCCTGGGTGGCTCAGTCAGTTAAGCATCCGACTTCGGCTCAGGTCATGATCTCATGATTTGTGAGTTCAAGCCCCTCATTGGGCTCTGTGCTGACAGCCAGCTCAGAGCCTGGAGCCTGCTTCGGATTCTGTGTCTCCCTCTCTCTCAGCCCCTCCCTTTCTCATGCTGTCTCTCTCTCTCTCTCTCTCTCTCTCTCAAAAATAAACACTAAAAAATAAAATAAAATGAAACAATATATGTATCTATATTTAAAAAACATATTAGAAAAAAAGAAAGAAACACAACTTCTCCTTCCTCATGAGTCTCCTTCTCCGTGAGTCCTTACTTCTTCTCTCTCTCTCTCTCTCTCTCTCTCTCTCTGGAGGGTCTGTACTTCTGAGCAGCTTTGCAACCACAGAGGAAGTTCACCAAGTGCAGGGCAGAGCTGGGCAGGGCAGGAGAAGCAGTGGCGGGAAGGACACCACGGTGGAAAGGGCCCTTCCCAGCACCTGGGGCACTGGATTCATTCTACTTGATGCCAGATACGTCCTGATGTGGAGCAAGAGGAACGTTCCGTCATTGCTGACGGGCATGTAAAACAGTTACAGGCACTTTTAACCGTTGGGAAATTTCTCACAAAACTCTCAAAAACATACTAGAACCATATGACCCAGAAATCCTTCGTATTGACTCAAATCAACTGAAAACTTACAACCACACAAAAACTTGCACATGGATTTTTATAGCAGCTTTCTTCCTTTTTTTTTCTTTAACATTATTTATTTATTTAGAGACAGAGACCTGCGAGTGGGGGAGGGGCAGAGAGAGGGGGGAAAGAGTGGATCCCAACCAGGCTTCGCACTGCCAGCACAGAGCCTAATGTGGGGCTTGAACCCCCAAAACTGAGATCATGCCCTGAGCCAAAACCCAGAGTCAGGTACCCAGGCGCCCCAGTACGTCCCCAATTCTAAAGCAACTGTGGAGGCAGCCCCTCCTTCCTCTGGCTGACCCTGAGCCCCCTCTGGGGGTGGCACCTAGCCTCAGTTGCCCCTGGGGTCTCCCTCCAGCCTTGAGGAGCTCTGAGGGGTGACACAGACCACACCTGATCCCCAAAGCCTCTGCCGTGGAACCCTCAGCACATCATCTAAGACACCAGAAACACTGTCCCCTTCGTCAGCCACACATGGCGTCTGCCACAGACAGAAATACTTATAACGAGGAAATGAGAAGCTAGGGCAGGCTGCATTTAGAATGAACCGAAAGCTTACTAACGGGTTTTCACGACTTACCAAGAAAAGTCGACCAAGATAAGAGAGAAGAAGACATCTCTAGTTCAGGCACAATGAGTAACAGGTACCTGAAGACAGGAAGTTGGGAGGCAGACACCATTGATGGTTAACATGATGGCATCTGATACTGGACAGACCTGAGTTCACATCCCAGCTCTGCCATTTCCTTGCCTGCCATCTTGGACCTTTTGTTTTCAGTAACCATCAGTTTCCTCACCTGTGAAAGGGGGATGAGCACAGATCCTGTCTCACAAAGCAATCTTGATCATGAGGATTAAAGAACACCCAGCTGGCCAAGCGTTAGCTCAATAGCTCTCAGTCCACTCTCCAAGTGCTTGGGGAAGTCGGTGAGAAACCAGGATGATGCAGGCTCTTTGAGACATCTTTCCAGGCAGAGGAGAGAGGAGACCCCAAAGTTCTGGGTCTGGTGCCAGCCCAGGGTGAGCCACCTGCATTCACACTCAGAACTGGGAATTTGAATTTTATGTAATCCGCCTCTGCAGGTAGCAACAAGAAGTGGGCAAGACGGGCGCCTGGGTGGCTCGGTTAAGTGTCCGACTTCAGCTCAGGTCGTGATCTCATGGTTCATAGGTTCAAGCCCTGCATCAGGCTTTGTGCTGACAGCTCAGAGCCTGGAACCTGCTTCAGGTTCTGTGTCTCCCTCTCTCTCTACTCCTCTCATGTTCTCTCTCTCTCAAAAATAAATTAAAAAAAAAAAAAAGAGGGGCACCTGGGTCAGTTGAGCATCCAACTTCGGCTCAGGTCATGATCTCATGGTTCATGAGTTTGAGCCCCGCATGGTGCTTTGTGCGGACAGCTCAGAGCCTGGAGCCTGCTTCGGATTCTGTGTCTCCCTCTCCCTCTGTCCCTCCCCTGCTTGTGCTCTGTCTGTCTGTCTGTCTCTCTCTCTTTCTCAAAAATAAACATTAAAAAATTTTAAAAATAGGATAAAATAAAAATAGATTAAAAAGAAGGGAAAAAGAAACCTGGCCTCTGGGGCAAATCCAGACTTGCCCCACCAGCAACCCAGAGTGATGACTGCTGTAGACGAAGAAAGCCCTCCCCCACCCCGAGCCATTGCTGGGTCCCTTCCTGGGAAGTGGGGCCTGGGCCCCTCAGCCAGCCCCAGGGCCATCTCCTGGTCCTGGACCCTTGTCCCAGCCAGAGCCTGGTGAAGGGCGGCCTGGGAGCCACATGCCGTCACCAGTCCCCTTGTGTCCCATCTCCCTTCTGGCACATTAGACTCTCTCCAATAATATATCATTTGCACACTCTGCACACCAGTATTGTGCACCAAGCAGGCAAGAAGCACTTCAGGGGACACCGTGGGAGACCCCAGATGAAACAGATTCCCAAGGACCCCCCCACACACACACCTCTCACAGGGAGAGTGGATAAACAAGTCCTGCTCAGCAATAAAAGAAACAACTGGGGTGCCTGGGTGGCTCAGTCGGTTAAGCATCTGACTCTTGACTTCAGCTCAAATTGCAATCTCGATGTTCATGGGATTGAGCCCCACACTGGGCTCTGTGCTGACAGCACGGAGCCTACTTGGGATTCTCTCTCTCCCTCTCTCTGCCTCTCCCCTGCTCGTGCACTCTCTCAAAATGAATAAATAAACATTAAAAAATAAAATCCACATTTTAGGTGAATTCCACATAAAAAAGGGAAAAAATCTATAATTTAAAAAATTTCTTAAATGTTTATTTTTGAGACAGAGACAGAGACACACACACACACACAGAGAGAGAGAGAGAGAGAGAGAGAATAAATACTTTAAAAAATATA